ATGTCTCCCTTCGCTACCATGACGCGCCGCTCACCCAGACAGTCAGCTTCTCAGTGAAGTGGATCCAGATCGACAATCAGCTTTACGGCGGCCTGTTCCCAATGATCCTGTACCCTAGCGTCGTCCCGAAGAGAGCTCAAGAAGTCGACGCGCACCCTTCGATTCACGCCATGGTCACCCGGGTGAAGGATGACTCCTATGGTGTGCTGTACATCAAATACGCCACCGTTTTGATGCAGCAGATGACGATTGAGTTGGACGAGGATTTCGTCTATGCTGTTCTTGACTTTTCAAACATTCCTGGAGCTGCATGGTCTGACAGCAATGAGGACGGCAAGCTCTGCGACGAAGAGCTCGACATTCCGGAGCCGAATCAGCAACAATCTGGCCAGGATATGTACTTCGAATTACTGAACATCCAGCCCATGCAACTCGACCTCTCCTTCATGCGCACGGAGCGCGTCAACGCCGAGGACAAGACATCATCGCGCAACCCGTTGATGTTCTTCCTCAACGTCATGACGATGGCTATCGGAAACGTCAACGATGCACCCATTCGTCTCAATGCTCTCATGCTTGACAATGTTCGAGTTTCGGTTCCTGCTCTAACCCAGAATATCTCGAATCACTACAGTCAGGAGGTGCTCTACCAAATCCACAAGATTCTAGGCTCCGCCGACTTCCTGGGCAACCCTGTGGGTCTGTTCAACAACATCAGCTCAGGATTGACTGATGTCTTTTACGAGCCCTACCAAGGACTTATCCTCTCGGACAAGCCCGAAGACTTCGGAATCGGCGTTGCCAAGGGTGCTGCATCCCTGGTGAAGAAGTCTGTTTATGGCTTCTCTGACTCCTTTTCCAAGTTCACCGGCAGTCTGTCCAAGGGTCTCGCAGCTGCAACCCTCGATAAACAATTCCAAGATCGACGCCGCATCACCCGCGCCCGAAACCGCCCCAAGCATGCCCTATACGGTGTCACCACAGGTGCAAACTCCCTTTTCACAAGTGCTGCATCCGGAGTTGGTGGCCTGGTGCGCAAGCCGCTCGAAGGCGCGGAGCAGGAGGGAGCGCTCGGATTCTTCAAGGGCATCGGCAAGGGAGTCGTTGGATTCGCAACCAAGCCCGCTATTGGCGTCTTGGACATGGCCTCGAATGTTTCTGAGGGTATTCGAAACACAACGACCGTCTTCGATGGCTCAGAACTCGACCGTGTTCGCCCTGCGCGCTTCGTGCCGTCTGACGGTATCGTGCGCCCGTACAATGCCCGTGAAGCTCTCGGCCAGTCCTGGCTGAAGCAAGTCGATAACGGAAAGTACTTCAACGAGAACTACATTGCACACCTTGAGCTGCCTCGTGAAGACATGGTGGTCATGGTCACTTACGCCCGGATTCTGCTTATTCGCAGCCGGCGTCTGACATCAGAGTGGGACGTGCCTCTCAAGGACGTTCAGACAATCGCAAAGGAGCGAACGGGCCTGAGCCTGACCCTCAGAGGCGGCACAAATGGTCCTTTCATCCCCGTCGGTGACGAGAGCGGGCGTGCCTTCCTGTACAAGATGGTGGCTGTCGCTGTGGAGGAGTTCAACAGGAGGTTCAGAGGATTGGAGTAAATGAGGATTGGCGAGACAAACGCACACGGGCCGTGGTTATGGATGCCAGGCCGCTTCGTACTTGTTGTTTGTATGTTGGTTCCCTTTCTTTAGAGGCTCTTCACGCATAGCCTCGCGATTCCCTAGCAAGCATACCTTACTTGGCGTTTCGGATCCCTTCTCACTCGTATACGTATGAAGACAGAAATACATGGACATTGAATAAGCACATGATACCTGCATGAGTAAGGTGACTTGAAAGTCGTGGAATTATGGATTTCCCAGTTGTCCCCTACCGAAAGGGACTCGATGTGCCTTCTATGGTCCTTGCAGGTTCTATGGTCTACGTTTGTCTAATTTCTCGTGTCTCGTGCCTCGTGTCTATGCTATGCCCGCCTCTATGATTGTGTCTATTCTATGCCCATCCGATCCTCAGAAGCTTGTAGCCGCTCTCGTCGCCACGCCCGACCTCTTTGCGCTTCTCAATGATTTCGTTGTATAAGATGGTCAGCTGCTTGCCATTCTCACCGCGCGGGCGGTCACTCGCCGTAAACGCGCCCTCCACCGTGTCGCTGACGCCGTTGAACTTGCCGTTCCGGCGAACGGTCACCAGCAGCCAGAAAACCCCGCCCGGCGCGAGCAGCTGCGTCGCGCAATCTCTCAACCATGTCGCGTGCTCCGGAGCATAGATGACATCCGTCGCAATGAGGATCTCCGCCGGGGTGTCGAGGGGTGCGCGCAGGTCAGGCGCAGACCAATCCAGTGTTGTCGTCTTGATGAGGTTTGCCCCCGCCGCCGAAGGAGAGTTGATGGCGACATTGGCTTTGAGATTCTCGAGCACTGCCGGGTGATAGTCCGTTGCGACGATGGTTGCTTCTGGCGCGCCGAGGTGAGGCAGCATGTTCCCGAGCACCAAGCTGACGAGACCCGTGCCAGCGCCGAGTTCGATGATGCGCGGCGACGAGCCGAGGCTGGGTTGGGTGAGGCCGAAGCGGGCCGGGTCTGCGCACATCAAGTCCGAGAGCACGATAGATGCACCCCAACTTTGCAGGCCGACGTCATCAGGGTCGGCGGAGTTCGTGCCTGCAAGCCGGTCGTTGAGGCGCGCGGTGACGGGGACGCGGTGCTTGTTCTCTGGGAGCGAAAGCTCAAAGGAAAAGTCGCGCGTGTAGTCCTGGTCCTTCTCATCCTCGGCCTCATCGTCCTCCGCGGGCGCGAAAAAGGATTCAAGAACACAGGAGGCCTGTTCTAGTGCGAGCTGGCAGGCTTCCTCGGACTCGAAGCAATCGAGGGTTTCGGCGCGTGCGATGAAGCCGGTAAGCCAGCGCTCGACGAAGCTGCGCTCAAAGGCGTCGACGCGGAGGGCGGCGATGTGGTGGTCTACGCCGTCAACCTCCTCATGGTCGTCGTCGGTCTCGGACACGTAACCGGAGTCAACTGCGGGCGAGGCATGGTGAGGCAATTTGTGGTCCGGGTTGAGCTGGAAGGCGACGGAGACGGGCAGTGAGCAGTAGATTGTCGAGAGGGAGTGGAGGGCGGCGGTGATGTCGGACTCGGTGAGGGTGTCGAGAGTCCGCAGGGGTGGAAGGCTGCTCGATGGCGGCGCGGGGTGTGCGGCCGGCCTCATTTGTGTGGCCCGTCTCCAGTGCCGTCGCGCTGGTGTCGGCGGTGGTGGTGATGTGGATGGATGATGAATTGTCGGGAGTGGATGAGATGAGATTCACGAGATGGGAAAATAAAAAGCCATCACGCGCTAGGTGGACAATGGCGGCTGTTTAGCTTATTCATTACCTACGCATTATTCGCACCCTTTTGGGCAAGGACACGAGAGATAAGGCCTAGACACGGATGGCGGGACGGGGGGGACGGGGACGGAGACCCGCTTTCCCAAATGAGGGTATCGTGAAAATTTTTGGCTGCCCTATCCTGGGGCCCAGACTGCACTTTTTGTGTGTCGACGTGGCTTGTGCTCCCGCGCCAGTGGCCCGGCGTGTCAGTCACCGCAGAAGAAATGTCACTGGGCGTTTCTCCATAGTATTCATCGGTGTCATCTCGATTTACCCCGGATACACTGTAGGGGGCGCATGTGAGATCCACTCGACAACGGAGTGCAAGTCGCCCCCGGAAAGTTGACATTTTGTGTGCTCCCTGTCTGTCAGACCGTCAGCTATGATTGCCGGCGAGTGAGTAATAAAGACCAGGTCAGATAAGAAGAGAGACAAGAAAAGGCTCAGCACGGCCTTCCGATAACCGCGTCCCGTCGTTTCCTTTCAACACGTGTCTGGGACAGTTCTCAAAATTGACCCATCATTGGCTGCGTCTTGTTTTGTCATCGTTTGGTCCATGTTTCTTTGACTGAAACAGACCGCCGCGAAGAGACGGCGCCGTCCGCAAGGGAGACACACACACAGGAGTCTTTTTTTCCCCCTTCGGCTCCATTTCTGCCGAGCGATTGGCGGTCTGAAAATGACTCGTTTTCGCCATCATCGCCACCGCGGTTCATGTGCCCGGACTTTAGCCGACTCCGTCAACATATGCTTGATGCTGGCGGCATGACGATGTACTGAACATGTCTATTCTAAATGAATATGTCAATCGACTCAAATATGTCTTTTGTTGTGTAATTTGTCGCAAGATCTTCGACGTTGCTTGTCATGGCGGCGTCCGCTTTCCCAAACTTCTCGCCGGCTAGCAAACTGCGTGGAATCTTCTATTGCTGCCAACGCGACGTCCATATTCGCGAGTCGGCGGTGGTAGATTGACGTCGCACAACTTTCGCGGATTGGTTTTGATGTGAAAGAACGATGTTCGGAAGAAAGAATTACGCTTGTGTTTGTGCAGCTGCTTCCCTCGCTACAAAAACAGCGTTCGGGCTTGTTTGTGAAGATGGAGCAGAAGGTCAGCCCTCTAGTTTGGCAGCGAGTATTGATTGTTTCGGTCACTTTGTTGGTTGCACAGTCTTCAGTGTCGGGTCTCGTATCAGGGAATGGCGGCAAACTCCAAGGCTGGGACAAAGGTAGCTGAGCCTTGAGTAGGACACATGATGCATCGAGTCTGCAAGTTGGTGGATAAATGACCGAGCAGACACCGCCATGATGTCGGCGAACCGTGTTCCGCTTCTTGCTTGACTTATAACCTCTATGGACGCTCACAAATGGTGATGTTTGGGTAAAGCCAGTGACAACAGCCACTGATGCGCGGGTTTGTTCACTTCGTGATACTCGAGACCCTGGCTCTCCCCATTCCCATTGCTTACTCTGGACTCTAGACAAAGGTTACAACCAAGGGTTCGTAGACTTTATTAATTGACATCTCCCACTTGCACGCTATGCCTTAGTGTCAGTCCTCGACACCGGCACACTGATCCAGAAAATCATATCTTTCCCGGTCCACCTCGTCCATACCACAAAAATGAAGTTGACTTCCATCATCGCTACATTGATAGTCGCCGTTGCTGCAGTTCCCGGCGACCCTACCGGCCACTGGTTCAAGCGAACTTGCGAAAATATTGAACTAAAAGCCAACCGGGGAAGAAGAGATGGCAGCTTTTACGTCGACCTCTATGCGAATTGCCACCCCAAATCAGGGGACAAAGTCGCCAACAGAATGGAACTCGACAAATGCCTGGGAAACCTGAACGGCGATCTGGCGTGGAGGCAAAAGTAAGTCCAACTTATTCCCTACGGACCACCATACTACAATGGAGTGCTAATAATCACAGCGGTGGATTCGATTACCAGTGCAGTGGCTGCCAAATTATAGACACGGAGAGAGACAAACTGATCATGCAGTGTGACTGCAACTTGAAGAGAACTACTATCAACCTCAGTCAGTTACCACGCACTTATCTGCCATGCTGTACCACAGCGACGGTTACTGACCATTTATGTCAGACCTGGGTATCCGCAATGAAGATGGTGTTCTATGGTGTAGCTACCAGTCTGCAAGCCGGCTCAGTTAGTGGGAGCCCTGCCTTCCCCGGGTACGCCATTTCAGAGCATGCGTGTTGATGACGCCAATGTTCATGACGAACGAAAACAATAGCGTTCATAGGTTTTCGGTCGATGCTTGCTCAAGTATCAGAATATTGTCATATGCCTGCTTAGATTGCAAATACTGTACCCTGTCTCATAAAGGACAAGTCTAGATGGTGAACTCCTTCTCGCTTTACCCCCAAGCCGCGTACGCTCAAGACGTGATCTCAAAACAGTGTTCTTTGCTACAGTAAACAAATAAATCGTAAAACCCATCAGAAACTCAGGCCATGACAGTCTTTCCCCCGTCTTTGGTCAGGCGGGACCGAACTTTGATACGGAGAGCCCGATGAGCCAGTCGCTGCAGGACAACTGCATCCCGCTCATTGTGCAAGCCGAGAACCGTGCTCGGAGCAAACACAAGTGCCTGTCCAGTGTGCAATGATACGATCATACAAAAGAGCCCCAGCGCTGGATCTTTTGTACCCAGTGCGATGGGCGCAACTGCATGGCTTGACTCTTCTCCATCAGCCATCGTCATCGACATGGAAGAGATACCAGCCAAGTGCTGGCGCAAGGTTCGAAGCCAGTCGGGTGAGGTGAATCGATGTACAATCGTCATGGAACACAGGTCGAGAAGCTTAGTAGAGACCGTGGGCTCTTGAGTTGAGATGAAGACCCGGACGCCAAGATGTCGCTGCAGGCGGATGGTTTCCAACAAGGAGTTCGTGAGCGTCTGACTCTCGTCGGATTCTTTCATGTACTTGTGTGCCTCATCAAGAGCAACCACCTTTCCAACGGGAGACTGCTGCTCCAGGAAGAGAGACAGGCAAATGTTGAACAGAGAGCAGGCCAGCTCTGGCGTGACACACGGGCAAGACAAATCGACGACGGTCAGTTGACCCGACTGCGACAAATCATTAGCCATATGGAAAAGGAAATAGTGCCGTCACTAATGAAGAATTATGATTACCTTAGGCGTCCAATCGATCCTCGTCTTGGTAACCTTACCCGTGTCCCCCAACATGAAGCTTTCAAGGGTATCAAGGCGCTGACTCAATGGACTTCTCTGGGCTGGGGTCAAGTCCGCCTCGCTCAAACGCTTTTTGAAGGTTTTGTACTTGAAAGGGACGCCAAGGTTCTGCTGCTCAATGCGCATCTCTCGCAAGATCCGGTTGATGACGTGCATGTACAGTGGCATGGTGCCCTCCCCAACTGCCATCAAGTCATTCGTGTGCTTGGTGTTGAGGTCGCGGTCGCTGAGCCTCAAAGGCTCAATCTGGAGGTCAGAAATACCACTGTAAATTCTCTGCCAGGATGTTGATTAGAAAACAAGGTTGTCATACTGGATTTGAAGATGGTATCATTACCTCGATGGTGCGAACGTTAGTAGGGACACACAGCACCCTGACCGAAACGTTTTTGTTGGAGGCAAGGAAAGCCGCCTCGCACGGGAGACCACCCGAGTCCGAAACGAAGCTGTCGTAGTGAAAGATTGTTCCACTGAGGGGGAGAGTCAACTTGCCCAAGTAGCTAGAGAGTAAGCAGTTCTCCAGAAGACATGCGAGCGTCTTGCTCTTTCCGGAACCTTGACTGCCGCAAATGAAGATACTTGAGGGACAAGCTACGTTGTGAAAGATTCTGGAATCTACTCTGGTGACCCCAGTGGCGAGCGAACCCTCCGAGAGGCTTATACCGAAGAGGCCGTATTGCGAAGGAGGGGAAGTATTGATGACGGGCACGGTGAGAAGAGGGCTCGACAATACCTCGTCATGGCCTTGTTGTTTTGGGTCCAGGGTGAGATGATCCATCTGAGCCACAATATCAGCTAGCTCCGTATGTGATATATCGTGGCTCCCATGATGACTGCTCTCGCCGTCGGAAGCTGCTGAATACATCGTCCCCGAATCTGAAGACATATTTGCAAGCGCAACAAGGAACGGATTGATAGTTTTGGTTGACTAGTCCGGGTTGCTGACTGGGGATTTACGAGAATCGTGGGCCCAAGTGCAAGTTTCAAAGATAATCGAGAAGCTTCAATCATGGGACTCAGGGCATATATATGGCTCAAAGTCGAAAGGGGCCTGCCTGGTTGCGTCTCGAATATTCTGCGTGGCACTTCTTCCAGTTAAATCCAGACTAGCCCAGACACAGCAGTTTGTTCATTAGGCTTGAGTCAACAATCCCTTGAACTGAAGGATGATGGAAGCCAATGGCGTTGAAAGCCACTCAAGATTCCCGCAGATTTTGGTGTTACAGGTTGGGGGACAGATATGTCCTTTGCAAGTGGCACTTTCGATGCGTCGGTACTCAAAACATGATACATGGCTTCTTTGATCTGAGCATCACCATCAAAGAACTGTTTCAGAAGATGTGACAGCAGACACTCATATCTCAAAAACCAAAGGGTGCCCAGACACCATAGCCTGTCATGATGTTAAAAAGATGCATCGAAAGATGAAGAAGCCATCGCTTTGATGTTTCGTGTTGCAGTGTGTCAATTATTCACTCAAGATATTCCGAAGTCACTTGTTGTTTTGTGTTTAGAATATGCTGGCCTTCGCCTAGAGACCGCCAAATACGACGAGAGAGCAGTTCTTGAGGTGTACTGGCTTTTCCTTGTGTCAAATGACGTCGTCTACTCAATGAACGATCCGAGATGTAACGACGCTTATTACGCCCAGATATCAAGGCATGCCAGGATTGTGGGCGGAACGTATAATGTCAGTTGCACCGCCTAATCGCAATGTCGGCATTTGGAAACGGAGGAAGACTTTTACTGGCACAAACTCAATGATAAGGCATGCCAAGCTTGCCAAGTGCTTTCTAAAATTGATTCGGAAGGCGGAAACGTAATCCAAGAGAGTTGAGTGCAACGTTCTCCAAATATTGAGGGGACATGAGGGGACACATCGGAGCACGTATTTGTGAAGCTTTCTTGGGTTCCGATGACGCCGAAATGCAGAGAATGTCGCTAGCATGAACGGACATGGACGTAGATAAACCCGGGCCATACGTCCGAAGCACAGAGGCCTCGGTTCCTCCATCTCTGCAGTCTTCTCGTTACAGCTCAATGGTTATGCATCCTCTTGCCTTGTTCGCCTTAATCGGTGGTTTGGTGTCGGCGAGCAGTCCAGTCTCCTACAATGGCTACCAAGTACTTCGCGTCACGACAGGCGCCAATTCAGCTGCCGTTCTGAAAAAGTTGTCATCCATCGAGTATGATGAGTGGAACACGGTAGTGAACGAGCACATCGATATCGCTATTGCGCCAAACCAGATCGGAAGGTTTCAAACTTTAGCTCTTGAATACCATACAATGCACGAGAACTTGGGAGTGTCAATTGCCTCCGAGTCAGCTACGAGAAGCACCTGGAAGAGACAAATCGACGATCTCGAGTGGTATGACAGCTACCACCCTTATGACGACCATAAGGCATACTTTGAGGCCCTTCACGAGGCCTTTCCAAACAACTCGGAGATAGTTTCGTCGGGAACTTCGTTCGAAGGCAGAGACATCTTTGGCATTCACTTTTGGGGCTCGGACGGACCGGGGAAACCGGCCGTGCTTTGGCACGGTACTGTCCATGCCAGAGAATGGATAGTAGCGCCGGTAAGCTAACGCCACAAAGGGCCATCGTGGAAATGCTAAGGTCATGGGCTACAGGTTGTGGAGTATCTCACGTTGCAACTAATCCAGGGATATGGCGTTGACAACACCACGACGGCTTTTGTGGATAATTATGACTTTTGGGTGTTCCCGTTTGTCAACCCGGTGAGAAATCTCGAGCTCAAATGAAGCAGTCTGTAATCTGACACCTCGGCAGGATGGATTTGTGTACACTCAAACAACAGAACGATTGTGGCGGAAGAATCGCCAACCATCCCCAACCTCAACCAACTCGACGTGTTATGGTCGCGATATCAACCGTAATTGGCCGTACAAGTGGGATGCTAATCCTCTTGGGGCTTCTACAGACCCTTGTTCTCAAACATACAAAGGCATCCAGGCAGGCGACACCCCGGAGATGGAAGGACTGCACAAGCTTGTGGATACTTTGCGAGACACAAGCGGGCTGAAACTCTACATCGACTGGCACAGTTACAGCCAGTACTTTCTGACCCCCGTCGGCTACAACTGCACCTACTACATTGATACTCTTGGCCAACACATCAAGCTTGCTCAGCTAGCCTCAGATGCCATTAGAGAGGTTGAGGGCGTTACCTTCACGTATGGCCCAAGTTGCGCGACTCTGTATCCTACGACTGGAGCAAGCTTCGACTATGCTCACGCCGTTGGCAAAGCTCAGTGGTCATATTTGATCGAGTTGCGGGACACTGGCGAGTTCGGGTTTGTATTGCCGCCAGAGCAGATTCGTGGTGGTGTGATGGAGCAGTGGGAGGGCATGAAAGTCATTTTGAGTGTCCTTGATGAGGTCTTCTTCGATGGAGATGGTCCAGCGGCATTCTGAGTCGAAACTAAACGCAGGAAATGCACGTATTGAACATCGGATACCGAAGGAAGATGCATCATGTACAGCAGGTTTTGCGTAAAACCGAAAAAACCACTGCAAGCCGGCTATTCTGGTATGCTCGTACGCTCGTACCCCTCATCAAGCCCTTCGCTTTTGGTAAAACTCATGACCATATCTGATACACGCCAAAACAAGCGCGAAAGCGAGAATTCCTATGTTTGAGTCGAAAGCTCTGCGGTAAAGAGGCTTATCATCAGCCTGGAAAAGTTGCGCTCCATAAATTGCCGCAACGTTCGCGCTCATGATAATCCTTGAAAGTAAAAATCAGAATCCCGAATTGTCTTCAGTAACGAAGCTGGACAACTCACATCGCCATAGCCAATGATCTCTCTTCCGGGTCATTGCAAGTCAGCGACATCCACGTGATATTGAGAGGGTGCGGGAATGAGGCAAACGTCTGCGTCCAGACGACTCCAAAATACCGCACACCTCGCTTGTTGATCTCCGTGAAAATGCGGTTGAGAATGTAGCCGAACATATGCATTGCAATTGCCAGTATCGTAGTCTCGCCTCGCTTGTTACTGAAATCAGAAATCAGCATCCAGCTCTCCAACCGGCTAGAACGAGATAAGACATCACTTACAACCGGTCGGAAACGTAGCTGAATCCAAAAGAGACTGGTACTTGAAGGAACAATCCCACAGCAGCCAAAGCATTACTCGTAAGTGAGGGAAAGCCGAAGCTTCTGATGATGGTCGGACCATAGGTGTCGAAACCTCTAAAAGGGCCGTTATTGCCGAGAGTGATGAAAACATGCATCCATATGCGCCAGTTGGAGAACTGCAACAGTCAGTAACCTATGCTATCAGAGAATTACAGTGGGCGATGAAGGAAGACTTACAGCCTTTTTGAAAGCAGCCATCCCAATATGTTGCTTCTTGTTCATTTTGTTGGGATCATCGATGCGCACGCGCGTCTGCAATATGTGCAGCTCTCGTTCCGTAAAGATGTTGACTTGTGGCAGAAACCAGCTATGCGGGTTATGGAACGCGTCTGGGAGACAAAATCCTAGTACTATGCCGCTGGCAATAGTGAAGGCTCCCATCACGATGAAAAGCCAGAACCAGCCAGGATACCCGGCTACTCCCTTCATATGTAGAATTCCATACGCAATTAGCTTTGCACAGGCCTGGCCCAGTTGGTTGCCAAAGAAAAATATCATAACCCGTTTGGCAGTCTCTTTGCGTGTGTACCATGTTGACAAGGTCCAGAGACCGCCAGGGATGTAACCACTTTCAGAAACTCCAAGGAGAAACCGGGTTGCAAGGTAGCCGGCATAGTTGTGCTGGAAGGCTTGGAACGTACTGACCAAACCGAAGAAAAATAACTGAAGGGTCAACCACTTCCCCGGTCCAACCTTGTACAAAATCATGTTTGACGGAATCTCGAAGAGAACAATCCCAAGGGACAGCAGTTGCTGGCCAACATTGAATTGGAATTGCGTGATGCCTACGTCTTCCATGAAGGTATCTGTTATTGCGTTCGCGATATTGCCTCGATCGAGTTCTGCAGTCATGTTTTACGTCAAGATGGATGTGGACTTTGAAGGCTATCGTTCGTACGCACGCAAGCAGAAGAAGCCGAGTGTCAGGAGTGGCATAATGGTCAAATCTAACCTGTATTGGTTCACATGTTAGACCCAAGAGTTCTAGATATAGGTGTGCGACTTCAACACTCACTTCCATTTCGCTTTCGTCTCTTCGTCCTCCGTCCAATCGACCGGCGATGAAACCTGCTTCGTGTCGCCATCCGCGAGATTCGCAGAAGGGGAAGGATCTAACGAGAAGATGTCTGCGGTGCCCATGATGTCAACGAGGGGTTGATGTTTTCGTTCGGAAAGACCTCATCAAGTTGGTACTCAATTTGCTTGAACCGAGAAACATCAAGTAGCAACAAATATGGCTGGTTGTTTCCAGTACTCCAGTTCGAAATTCAGCGTCATCCTTCTGCAGGGCTTTCTCTTGACCCAGACGAAACCGAGCACACCATACTGGATCTGCGGAGAAGATCCGAATCACTGGGTCCGAACATAAGTCTTATCAGACCAGCAAGCTTTGACAAGAGACAACTGGGAAGGAGCGATATTGCGTGCTTGGTGTGGAGTATCGTCGGTACCTAGGTACGCAACAGGCTTTGGCACCTAGGCGTTGGTCATGTTTCAATAGCGGTTAACTCGCCACGTGGAAAGGCAATAATCTCCGAGATGCATGTTGGAGAAGCGCAAAAGTACGCCTGATGATCGATCGGGATAGTTCCAAATTGACGCAGCGACTTAAAGTACCTTAGACTAGGACTGCCACTGAGTGGACTTGTATTATGTTTGCTCACTTTGCTGCGGAATAAGCTTTACAAAATTGGTCAATCAAAAGTCGACGAAAAGGTACAGGAACAATTCCAACGTCGGGCATATTACTGCCGTTGACGGTTTGGAGTGGGAAATCCGCCCGAGCACGTCATCTTCCCGGCGAATTCGATCATCCAACAATCCACTCGGGGCACATCTGCGTCGGAGAAACTCCGACATGCAAGCATCCCCAATAAACTTAGTGATACAAAGGGCACTGGCCTAGCTAGATGGAATTGATCTAAATGTCATTCGTGCAATCACACCTTCCGTACGTACATTTTGCATCCATCAAAACCCATCGCCGCGATGAAGACCTTGTCCGACGAGGAGCTCACAAATCTCGCGGGCAATTACTTCGCCCCGAAGGGACTTTACCGTCACACGAAAGGCTTGCCATTTTTGGGTAGTCTTGAGTGTAACACAAAGACTCTCATTGCTGGGCAATGGACTGAACTCATTGTGGAATACACGGTTGGTGCCAGTGGCCTTGCTGATGGAGCTTGGATCAAAGGGACCTTCAAGTTCTACTCGGACTGGGCGCTGTTTCAGACTTCCGACCCAAAAGAAGACAACTACGTATCGGTAGAATACACGCCAGGCCCTCTCCACGAAGGACAAACAGCGGCGACGGTACAGTCACTGGCTGTTCGTTTCGACCAAAAGGGCCACGAGCGACCATTTCAAAAGGCCATCATCGTTGACATTGTCGACGGTTACATGAACCCCGGAGATAAGATTACTGTTCGAATTGGCGACAGACGATGGGGATCGCGGGGTACCCGGGTTCAAACATTCGTTGAAGACAAGTTCTTGATGAGGTGGTATATTGATCCAGTCGGAACTTCAAGGTTCGCTCCTATCAAGCCTGACATTGCTTTTCCAATCAAACCGGGACCAGTTGCTAGAGTTAAGGCCACAACTCCCCGAGTTGTTAGGCCCGGCGTTCACGTCCCCCTTCACGTCCATACCGAGGACATCTGGGGCAATGCGACAGCAGACCTAGGGAACCTGAAAGCTGAAGTCAAATTGATCAAAGTTGGCTCCCAGGCAGAGGTTGTCCAGACTAAAACCTTGCCTTTCGCAGCCCAGGGATGGACGGTGGTGAATGACACATACGAGTTCGTCAAAGATGGGGACTACGATCTCGTCGTGGCAGTAATTGATGGTGAGGGATCTGTCATTGCCACAGCTACTGACTATATATCTGTCGATGCCTCTCTACCCATCCCTCGGCCGTTGTACTCTGATCTTCACGTTCACTCCGATGACACTGTCGGCACCAACTCGACCACATACAACTTCTCTTACGCCAAGGAAATTGCCGGCCTTGACGTCGTCGGATACACTGCTAATGATTTCAACATTACCAAAGAGAAGTGGGAGCACACGCTTGAGATCATTAAGGGAGTTAATTCGCCTGGCGAATTTGTCGTATTCCCTGGGACAGAATGGTGTGGCAACTCAGCCGCTGGGGGTGAGTAAACCTGATTCGAATGTTGTTGTGCTCTTACGAAGGAAAGCTGATTTGATTCAGGTGATCACAATGTCATTTTCCTCGATGACCCGAAGACGAGTCAACCCGAGTTCCCTTTTGACAAGAAAGGGAATGTAGCTCGTAGCTTCGAGTGGAACGAGGACGGACCGGCAGAGCTGATACCCGGCGCCTGGCCACTGGATGAAGTCTACGCGACTTACGCCCATTCACCTGAAAGCCACCTTTTGATCCCCCACGTTGGCGGTCGTCGATGCAACCTAGCCTGGCACCATCCCCATTTGGAACGTCTTCTCGAAATTGGCAGCGCTTGGGGGTTATTCGAGTGGCTTCTTCGCGACGCCGTGAAACGGGGCTGGAAACTCGGCGTTTCCGCCAATTCGGATGAGCACCGGGGCCGATGTGGAGGCGGGGTACCCGGAACTGCCGTCTTTGGCACGAAGGGTGGATTTACCGGCGTCTTGGCCGACAAGCTGGAGCGTGGTAAGGTTGCGAAGGCCTTACGGGCAAGGCGTACATTTGCGACAACAGGCGAACGCTTAGTTGGGATCGTACGCACCGACAACGGACATCTTCAAGGCGATGATATATTTGTGAAGGAGAATGATGAACTCGTTCTCAGGTACAGCTTCTTTGGTGCGGGAGGGTACTCTTCCATCGAGGCTTGGGATGCGAGTGGTCGGATTCTCCACCGGGATCTCCAGAAAGAAGCAGAGACTCACGCCACGGCATCAACTCCTAGAAAGATTCGCGTGACTTGGGGAGGGGCTCGCGTTTACGACAGATATCGTGAGGCTGTCTGGCACGGATCAATCCTCCTTCCCGGGGCGGTAATCTCGCATGTTCGACATTTCGGGGGCGTGCTTGACAATGCCGACGATGAGATCACGCAACTTTCCCAAAACCAGGTCGTCTTCGAAACCCGAACCAGTGGAGATTTCGATGGTGTTGACATTTTCCTTGATGACACATCGGGAATCCCCTCTACTATCAGCGTATCGGGCCATTTAGGTGGATACGTCAAAGTTGGTGACGCCCTCAAAGGAAACCCCCACAACCCGCAACCTCGGTTCAACTTGGTTGCTACGGCAAAGGACTTGACTCAGGAAGGAGGGGTGCGCGACGACATAGTAGGCGGTGCTGACCTCTTTGTGTCCATCGATGGTCTGTTGGATGTTCCATTGCCCAAAAGAGTTGAAGGCAGCTTCACAGTGAAGGCAGAGTCTGGTAGTGGTGGTGACCGGGCGGTGTACTTTGTAGGCAGAGAGTATGGTGGAGGGAAGGTCATCACCAGTCCTGTATTCATCAAGTACGAGTGAGCCATTAGCTAGAAAGAAGCATCCACAGCGCACATAGTCTGTGCGGAAGGCAGATCTGACCCCCGCAACTCCAACAACCCCAATCTCTCGGGCCCAGTGCCCATTTCGCGCATCACCTGCACCTCCTCGGGCCTCAAAATTGGAAACCGAAAGTGAGCTAATACGCGCTCTGCCTTATTGAGAAAAGAGACCTACCGTCCGCGTCTTCTGATGTCGCAATGCAGATGGCGAGATCATCAATGGAGCGGAGTTTCTCTGAACAGGGATTTGGCTGTGGTTGTCATTGGGCCACCCCGGATTTCGGCACTGCATGCACCTGGTGTTCGGTTTGTGGACGGTGGTGGGGTAGTTCAATCTTAACGCGCCTGACAGGTGCAAGAGACGGCCAGGTTCCAGGGAGTTCCTCGACGGCAACCCGAACTGAGGCCTAGTGACGGCTTTTGTGCGGAATGGGGAGGAAGTGGACATGGCAAGAAGAAAATAGTTCTAGTACGGTGCATATATAAGCTTGTTAACTCCCCAGGTAGGCTCCGGCATTCACCAATTCATGCTCCGGAGTTTATAAATTTGATCGGCCAGCGGAGAGCCCAAGCAATTTGTCCTGCCATTATGCTCGGTCACAATCTTTCCCGTTTCGCTGTGTCGCTTCTTGTGACAAAAGCAGCCTCTTCTCCGGTCCCGCGCTCTGATCCGGCAGGTACTAAATACTTCGTAACCTTGTAAGTTGTCCCTCATACACTCTAAGACTTGATTTATCGACTCGCCTTCATCTAGATTTGGCTGACAAAGTTTTAGCGGGAGCTCTACTACACAGACCGGGTTTTCTGTCAATGGCACCGCTCCCTCGAGCAAGAATCCTATTGGCAATCCCTCTTTTCCTGGATCAACGACGACTGGCGGCCTCAACTGGCTAGGGTTTGATATCGTTGAGTTTAATCACACAACGATCTTAGCCTACAATCTGGCTGTAGGAGGTGCTACGACAGACAACACACTTATTCCAACATACACGGAAGGTATTGCGACCTACGTAGACCAGGTCGACACCTTTTACGATGCATACGTCCACCAGGAAAGCCCATGGTCCTGGGACGACGTTCTGATTGGGATCTGGATCGCCAACAACGACGTTGGCCAGTCTTTTGACAGAAACGACACATCCTCTCTGTACCCGAAGGTTTCTGCCCGTTACTTCGAACAGACTCAGCGCCTCTACGATGCCGGTGCCCGAAATTTTGTGTTTCTCACATGTGCTCGTAAGTTAATTTCATTGAGTTGCTAATGACGGCAATGACAAAAGACTATCGCTGACTATGGCATTGCTGTCAATCACGAAATCCCGCTAATGATCCGCAATAGCCCAGCAACTCACTCCTTTGATGATCGAAAAAGGCCCAGAAAGCAATGCAAGGGTTGCAGCTGCTGTCAAGCTCTACAATGAGATATTGGAAAAGAACTTTCAAAGGTTTAAAATAGCCCATCCGGATGTTCAAGCCTGGCTGGTCAAACCTTCGAAGTCATATGAGACTGCGATTGCGAACCCACAAGAATACGGAGCGCCAGACGCGATTTGTACAAACGAGGACGGCGTCAGCTGCCTGTGGTGGAACAACTACCATCCTGGAATTCAAATTCATCATCTTCTGGGAGCAGACGTGGCGACAACTGTTGGCACACCCTGGTTCAATCCCCAGTAGAAATAATAGTGTTTCCTAATGACAGATAAAGGAGAAAGAGGTCGCATAAATGCGGAATCAAACTTAGAGTAACGAAGTGGGAGTGCATTGATATGGTCTCTGGCTAAGAGGGAGCTCACACATTCAATCTTGTACTTGCCGTTCACCTGTGGTCTGACGGAGACCTCGATACTACCGCTGTACAATACGTTCACCTGACAGGATGCCTTGTCCATACGTACAAAACAAGACCTGCATCGGGGTTCGATAGCTCATGAATGAAAAGGACAGTCCAAACTTAGTGACGCAAAATTGTGAGGCCAGGCACATGCTAAGGAGAGCGACTGTATGAATCAGTGAACAACAGCACTTGCTGGTAGCACAGAGTCCGCGCCATATCATGTTGGAAAACTGACTCGGCGAAGGCTGCTTAGATATCGCTTTGCAACCTGGATGCTGAGTGTAGTGATCCACCAGATGAGCTGGAGCAGACGTGACTTTCACTTGCTGTGACGTTTCTTAAATGAGGCTCGACGAAGAAGATAAGTGCATGACTCGAGCTTGAGATGCTATGAGGGATCCGGCCTGGGTCTTCCGCATGCTGGCTGGAGTCTGGACAAACCAAACTAAGAAGGGATGACAGTGCGCGTCTACTGACAGACCCACAGAAGCATCCAAGAACCTGGACATTCTAGAAAACGTATTCAAAAGAGATTGATGGCAAAAGGCCGTCTTCGGAGACATCGTTGTTTGCCGAGAAAGTACTGATCACCAATTTCGGAAACTAGGTAGAATCCCGTCTGCGCATCGACTATCATGATATCATCGTCGAATGCAACCCCAGACCTTCAGGCTGTCTCAAAGTTTCCGAAGGCAATGTTCCCACTAGGACAAAAGAAGACTTAATGTAAGTTGAAATATGCTAATTGCATGTGATGAAGATGTAGAATAGGCGGCAGCCTGGAGACAATTATTCTCCCTTCATGGGTGGACCCAAGAGGGTTGGCAATGCCCTTGAACGAAAGAGATTAAGTGAGCGATTTCGGACGCGAGTGCATTCCTCATATGACGAATAACCCGAGTGCTTCACTGCGATGCTACGTGTGGTACTGGCGAGGTTGAAATCTGCAGACGCCCCCGTAATTCAACCTTGATGGCTTATGATCACCGCTGCATCAATGGAACCCGGATGGCCATTGAGCAACAGCACCTGAAATTTACGAGAGTAGGTATTTCGTCAATTGTTAGCAATGCCTTGAATGATACAAGCATTTTCGCCTCGAGTGCAATTAAGTTTCGGCAGGCTAAGATGGACCGCAGTCGCTACTGCAATGGGGTTCCATTCGAACCTGGAATTCTTCACCCTGCGAAATGTTTCCATATATTTCAGGGATCTCACTGGGCCCATGCGAGAGACCAATATCTGAGAGGTAGCAACGAACAATACCTTGCGCTGTATTGCGCAGGTTTTGCCAAGTTGATCGCATTACTACAAATCGAATGCAAATATTGGGTGGAGACAACTCGGAAGCTTCCCGGCGGGACGAAGTGCAGCTCTCAAGGTCTAAGACAAAAAATCATGAGATCAAGGAAGTCTCGGTAGTTGACCGCTGGAAGCTAAATTGATGACGAGAGTGGCGAGGCGATGTTGGAAGCGTCAAGGTATCGCTTGCCGACCATTTAGACAACGGGCAGCCACGTCTGCGATGCCTTGCTTGATGAGAACGTCGACCACGCCTGCAGCACCAGCACTACTTTACAGCCCTTGCCGCGGAGGTAGCGCTTGTCTCACGACAGAATGACATCCATGTCGTCTTTGCTAGGCTCTTCCCTCTTCTCAGTCTCACTCAGCCCATCTGCTCTTGGAAGAGTAACACCTCAGAACACCCCAAAGGAGAGTTACTTGGGAGGGACGCCCATTTTTGCAAGACTTCGATTCCATTGGTTTCAGCAAGTTGCAGAACTCCCTGGAAATTCACCGCCCGCAAGAGTTCCAATGCCTCAATTGCTATTGTTGGAGGTGGAATCTCAGGCCTCGCTACTGCCTAGATGCTGGACAGTGCCGGCGTCCATAATTGGGAAATCATTGAAGCCAGCGATCGTGTTGGAGGACGCTTTCGCACAGTACTTATCCGTGATACGGAAGAGTTCACCGAGATGGGCCCGATGAGATTACCATACCATGTCGTATACAAGAGCGACAATTCCACGCACGCGTACTCTGATCACCGCATGACTTTTCAACTCGCCGACTCCCGCAACAGAATGAACGAAAACGTCGAGAAGTACTGAATCGACTTTATTCCATGGATCCAGCACCATCCTAACGAACTACTCGCCTTTGGGACGGGCAGATATCCGGATGGCAGGGTGCCTACCCGCGCTGAGATTGCGAAAGATCCAAGCCTCGGTGCTCCACCGGTCATGGCATCGGCGGAATGCAACAACACTAAGAAAGAGATAAAGAAAGTATTGAAGAACGAGACTCTCATCAAGGAAATACAAGCCGATATTTGGGGGGTTCACAAGCAAGTGATGGACCTAGGCTAAGATGATTGAAGCCAGCAGTCGCTGCTGCGCAACCGTCTAAATGCAGATGAGAATGTCACAGATGCAATCTGGACTTCCACTGACTACGATGTCATCTGGGATGAGATGGCGCACAACTCCAACTTAGCTCTTGACGGGTCTGACGATACTCTCGGTGAGACTGAGTGGAAGTGTGTCGACAAAGGCTTCAACCGCATGTCGGACGCTTTCATTCTCCATGTCTCAGACAGACTGATCTTGAACCGCAAAATCCGGACGTTGGAACCGGTTCATGACGAAGCCGGCAACAGTCGAACACGTCTGTCATGATATCCCAACACGGCTAACAGGACATTTGAGTATAAAGACTACGACTACACCAGCATGGCTGTCCCTTTCACCATGAATCGATTAGGCTGTCGGAGCTCTGTACTATCCCGTGTATGGATTGAACGAATCAGGACCCAGTCCCATCACACACTATCGTGGCGGAGATTGGAGTGATCGTTTTGTTAGCTTCACAGAAGAAGAGGACGTAGGGCTGGTTCTTGATGTTATCGTGAGCTTGCATGGAGAAAAGGCCCGAGAGCTCTATACTGGCGACTATGCTCGCCTCTGTTGGCTTGAGGATGAGCATACAGTTACTTCGTGGTGCCGCCCCGACGTGGAACAGCATAAGCTGTGTATTCCCTCATACCACCGTACGGAACACAGCACGAATTTTATCGGCGGGCATACGGCTCCGACTCATGCTTAGATTGGTTAGTCGCTTTATTCTTCCGTCAGAGGCTCTTTTCAGTTGCTACTTGAGTTGGGAATGGCCCATGAGGCGAAGAAATTGAACCAAGAGTGGATGGGCCAGTGGATTCATTGGTTAGATGTAGGGCTTGTGCGAAAGTCGCAGCTGTGAGCAGGATAATAAGCATGCGAATATAAAGTCTGGTCTTCGGCAAATTTTTGTTAATTGATTCCATAACATCAAACCTGTCTTGATTGCGATGCCGTTATTGACCCGCACGCTATCACATCTGGCCTTTCGCTCTTTTTTTGCCGTAACGCCTGTCAATATCAGTGGTCCTGAGATCCTTCTGGGATCCTTCTGAACAGCGTTACCTCATTGGGCAGGTCAAATGTAACCATTATCTGAGCGAAAATGGGACGTTGGGTCCCCGCAGATCGTCAAACACCTTGGGAGATAAACAGTTTCCCAAAGTGCTGTGTCGGTCTGCGACTTCGGAGCTCGGGGTTAACTGACTAATGATAAGGTGCTCTTCCCCGCGTCTTGCCAAACCAACATGATACGCAACGATTACCCGATCTCTGTGAAGTTATTTGCGCATTGAGATATCATGTCGGAACAAAAGTCAATCGCTATTGTCGGTGGTAGGCAGAATGCAGTGACCATATAGCTTCGCAGACTTACTAACGCTCTGTTTAGCGGGCATATTCGGGCTATCGCTGGCGGTTGCCCTCAGCAAGAAGCGTGAGTCTTGGCGCCTTCTCCCGAAAGAAGACCTATGACTTGTGAGAGCTGATAAAACACAGCCGGAAATCGGGTTCATGTCTTTGACAGACATCAATACGACGAGTCGGGATACTCGCCCGATTTCGCCCACAGTACCCAGGCAGCTTCCGTGGACCATAACAAGATCGTTGGTTCCCTGCACACTCGCTCTAATGTGTGACGTGTAGCAATTAACAATTATCTAAATTGCAGTTTCGAGCATCCTACGGAAAGAGCATCCACTATCAACGCCTAGCGCTTGAGAGTCGCAGCGCCTGGGAGAAAATTAACGAATTACGCCGCGAAGAAAAGAATGAAGAAGAGCGGTCTGACTTATTCAGCGGCTGCGGCATGCTTCGCGTCCAACCCGACGCCGATCTTGGTGCACTGGAGCGTGAGACTCTGCGTAATTTTGAACGTGACGGGCTGCGTGATACACAATTTGTCAAAAGTGATCCCACTGACCGCCAGCGAGCCACTGAGCGCGGTTGGGACTCAAAGCTCCTTGACTTTGCTATCCCGGATTCATCTTCGAATCAGAGCTTTGAGGCAGTTCTCGACTCTACGGCTGGTTTCACTAAGTGCAGTGAAGCTTGCGCTTACTTCTACAAGATAGCTGAACGCCAGGGCGTCGTATTCCACTTTGGGCCCCAGAAAGGTGGTTTTGGGAGTCTCATAGAAGAGAACTTCCCGGAGTCATCTACGAAAAGGGCTACTGGCCTGAAGACCAAGGATGGAGCTGTTCACAAGGCCGATGTTGTGGTCATTGCTGGTAAGTTCGCTCTCCACAATTCAACAGTTGCAGTGACCAATGTTTCTGGCAGCCGGATCTTTTTCCACGCAACTATTGCCCGAGCTGTCGTACCACCTGGAGTCCTCAGCCGGAAGCGTCGTCACCTTCAAGATCGACAAGGATGACGAGCGGCTCTGGAATAAGTACTCTCCTGAGCGTTTTCCTGTGATCACTTGGAAGAGCGCTGCCCGGACTGTCGATGGCAAAGACATCGGAAGTATCTATGTATTTCCTCGGACATCTGACGGCCTCATCAAGATCGGCTACAGGGGCGTTAAGGTATGTAAATGCTTGCAATACTTGTGAAGGTCTTGGAATTGACAACTCCCCAGTTCACGAACTTCCAGCCTGCCCCCCCTGATGCTGGCTTCACGCAGGACGGGAAATGGTCTGTGCCCATGTCGCCCGCTGATTCTCGTGTTGTACCGGACAGAGCCAGAGAGGCTATCAAGCCGTTCGTATCCATTTTCCTCCCGGACTTCAAGGAACGAGATTTTTATTCAACAAAGATGTGTTGGTACACTGACTCACTTGACAACTCTTTTGTGGTAAGTAATTGTGAAGTAGGATAAATTGCTCGGTCTTGTTGATTTAGGCCGTGTGCTAGATTGACTACGTGCCGAATTACGCCGATAACTCCGTGTTCGTCTGCACTGGCGGAAGTGGACATGGAGCTAAGTTTCTCCCCGTTCTAGGTGAAGTGAGTACTTCAAATATCCATGTCATTCAATCACTGCTGATTTGCTATTTTAGCACGCTGCCGATATTCTGCTGAATGGTGAGCAGAGCAGCTCGTTTATGCGCCCTTACTGGCGATGGAGAGAGACAGCGCGCAGAGGGAACGGGCTTGAGGAGGGGCCCAAGGGCCCCCGAAACATTGGAAGTTCGAACCAATGAATGTACTTAGAAGATACAGTCCGATAATTTCTACGTTGCTGTGAGCCTTGATCTTTGTGCCTGATAGCGAGTAAACACAGTTGCATGATGTCAATTCCCGAGATCCCTCCCCTCAGTGACCTGTAACCTCTCATCGTGCGGTTATCCTGCATGTGGGGCTGTACCGACAGACGTAATTCTCTCAGGAACCATGAGTCGTTTGCTGTTGGGATGTATCTTATCTAAGCTCGTCAAAAGCCAAGTATGCCGCGCCGCTTCGGGCCGCTGGCCAAGAACGTCTGATTCTCCGTTAAATGGACGGAAGAGCTTCCCAACTTCGTCTTCAGCTCGTTGTGATTTGTTGCCTGAGTAGGAAATTTAGTGCGATCCGCGCGTCCTGAATGACACACGAGCAACCTTGATGTCCTGAACTGCCAAGGACGGCTGCGATGGATTTCTTGGCGTTCGTTCTTGGCCACAGAGAGAGACGTCGAAATAAGACACTGCCCCTGGCAAAGTGTGTGCCGCTTTATCCGAGATGCATCTGTTGGCTCTGGTTCGACGTCTTGACGCAGCAAGCACCCTTGCGGATATTAAGTTGACGAGAAGGGCATAAGGAGCGCGAAGCGGAGACGCATCTGAAGGATGAGGGTCCCGGAGGCAAACAGGTCAGGGGTGAGACGAGCTTCCAACAGAAGTCAACAGCAATCATGTTGCGTTATAAGGCGCATTCTTCACCCGCTCTGTGGCGTCTTCACTCGTCCTTAGCAGTGCTTGAGAGGCAAGGAAGTCAGCAGCAAACCTCCGTCGGCTTCTCAACCCCACTTTGTTACTTCTGCTCATACCACCGCCGTCATGACTAGAGACAGAGGTATTGAGGAAGACAGCCCCAACGAGAAGATCGTCCACACTTCCAACGATGGCACTCCTCTCGACGTGAAGCCATCCGACAATGGCAACGGACAGGGCAGACATGAGCACGCCGTCAGTAAGGATGAAGTCGACGATACCACACTCTTCTACAACCTCAATAAGGAGAAAGCCGGCTCTTTCACTGCGGAGATGGAAGGTAAGCTTGTGCGCAAAAACTTCTGGTTTCTGCTTGGTCAGACCTGGTGGATCGCCTTCCTGATCCACCTGGACAAGTCGACACTGTCGCAAGCTAGCACTATGGGGATCTTTAAGGATGTCGACATGACGAAGAAACAGTACAATGACCTTTTTGTGGTGTTTTATACTGGCTACCTTATTGCTCTTTGGCCAGGGGCATGGTTGTCTCAGAGAACTGGCCAGAAACAGTTCATCGTTGGATCGCTATTGCTTTGGGCTCTATTGCTCGCAATGCATGTACTTGTCAAGACAGGAGGCCAGATGATAGCCTTGCGGTTTCTGTTGGGCATGGCGAGTTTCCCTTGCTTTGGAATCTGTGTATGAGCACAGTCCGACTAACCGACCAAAACAGACCGAGTCTCAGATTGTACCGAGCACCACCATTCTTCATCAAGCATTCTTTTCTCCAAAGAAAAGTCCTTGGGTTCAGCTTCTTTGGTGGGCTTCGGGCAGCTTCGCAAACGTACTCCTCACCATGGTTGCTTACAAGTTGATCCTCCTCGATGATGCTCATACACTGATTGGCGGGCTGTCGTCGTGGAAGTGGTTGCACATTATATGTGTGATCCTGACCTTTATCATGGCAGTCCCGCTGGCTTTCTTCCTGCCAAACTCACCCGTGGAGGCGAAATGGCTCTCGACCGCAGAGAAGGTACACACAATCAAGGCGATCCGCGACACACAATCGGGCATCAAGAATTCGACATGGAAGTGGTCGCAAGTTCGAGAAGCGTTTACAGACCCCAAAAGTTGGCTTTTCATGTGGGTTGTCACCTGTCCATTGTCTTTCAACTCACTGATGGCAATGCAGATTCCATATGTTCTTCAACGAACTTCCGAACAACACCTCGCAGCAGCTTCCTCTTATTATCGTTGGTTTTGGCTTTACGCCAGCAGAGAGCGCGCTTTTCAATATTGCCAAGCCGTTGATTGGTTCATTCCTTGTTCTTGTATCTGCCGCTATGCTTTATGGGACTCGACTTGGCACTGGCTATACCTGCGCGATATCGTACATCCCATGCTTCGTTGGGGGCATAATTGAGGTGAGGCTTCGATATCATGACTTTGCTTACCGTCTTCTGACTCCCTCACAGCTTGCAGCCCCTTGGTCCAACAAGATCGCGCTCGTTGTTGGCACTCAGATTTCAACATTCAAGCCGTCCTATCTGCTCGGTCTTTCTTGGGCTGGTACCGCCACGACCGGGTATACGAAGAAGCTTACCGTTATGTCAACCTGTGTGGTTGCTGCATCGGCTGCAAATATGATTTCGCCCGAGTAAGTCGCCGCTAAGCTCTCCAGCAGAAAAGCCGCTAACGATGTTTTTCAGGTTTTGGCAACCCAAGTACAAACCAAGATACACTCTACCATGGGCTTTCATGACTGCATTTTGGTTCATATCACCTGCCATGTGCCTTGTCATCCGCTGGTATCTCGTCCGTGAGAATCGACGCAGGCAGGCTTACGTGGATGCTGATGGAAGTTCGGACGACAACGATGTCCTGGACACTGGGGACAGGGTTGTCCATGTGTACAAGGAAGATCTCGATCTGACGGATCGCCAGAATCAAAAGTTTATTTACCCGTTGTGAGGTGATGAAAGTAGGGCTGCTGTGTTGGATACTGAAGGAAATGCAGCCAGGTAGTCAAAAGAACCTAGAACTTAGGAGGCTTATACGAATAGTTGTTGGAAGAGTTGGATGTACTTTGAATTCTGGTCTTGAAAGCAAGAGGCAGTTTATCTTTTTAGAACACTTCAAGCCTAGAAAAGGAATACGGAATAGATTGATCGTTGGATGTCGGACACACCCTGCAGTTTGGACTGGAAGTGAACTTGTGTACTGTATGTATCTTGTCTGCCTTAGTTCATCAATATGATTAGCTATTTTATCAGCAGCGCTTGCAAGCCGGTGCCATATTAATGATCCTATGCAGCTTGCCAAGACTTTTGTGGAACTTTAATGGATGGCTGTTACCCTCCAGGCAAAATGACCTAAAACCTACATCGACCGAATGAGTCTACCTGTGTGTGTTCAAATGGAGGCGAGTCCAGCATATTGATCTTCGCTACGTCCCCGCCCACCGTCGCCGAGTGTGGGATCGACCGGCTACGGCAGTGATCCACACCTCCGCGCCGGACGAGACTCCGGAACCTAATCCTTTGTGGGGTGACGTCGATTAAGCTTGTCCTTAGCTCATTTCAGTCGGCGACAATTTCGATATTATCCCTGCTAGACGGTACCTGAGGTTCAGTCATCGGTCGTTCTACCGAGTTCTGGTAAAGAGCAGATTGTTGCGTCAGTCTCGTGCGACAATGGCTTTGACTTCCGGACTGAGGGAATACCATATCGTCGCGAAACCGAGACTTTCTACGTCGCTTCCGGGATAATTAGCTTATGCTTATTAGGGAAGGTAGTTCTCTTAACTCCGCAATGGAAGGTGATCAACGGCTCTGATGCCGGGCGCTTGGCCTTCCAGCTCCCGCTACCGACCGCGTAGACAGGGATCCCGGGCACAGCAACTGAAAATAGTTGGCGAACCGCTGAAATGGGCCAATCGCCAAGCAGGATAAGTGGGAAACGGCCATCAATACGAACAAAGTGGATCCGACCTTCAGCATCCGTAGATTGCATCAAGCCAAGGAAAACATGGGGAAATTTGTTGTTGATAAAAAGCCGGTGAGCCCGCGTTATTGATAACAAGCAACCGAGACTGTTCATCGTCATCAGCGACTCCGAAGCTGACAATCTTGCTGCGATCATGAAGGGTCTTATTATCGCACTGGCCTCTTTTGGCCTCACCAGTGCCGCCGCAGTCAGCTCTTTGGCGCAGCCCGTAGCTCGCCAAGGGTGCCTCGTCTCCGACGAGGGCGCTATTCAAGACCCGGTCATCCAATACACGGAAAAGACTGTTCGCCGTCAAACCTTCCCGAGCAACTTCACTGTCGACGTTAATTTCCATCTCGCCAGCACCGAGGAAGAAGCGGACCTGATCACGGACGAGATCGTCGATGCACAATGGAAGGTTCTCCACGAGGCCTTCGCTAGGTACGACATCAACCTTGTGCTCAACTCGACTGAGCGTACGGTCGACAACCTGACCGGTTCCGCTTTCCTCATTAACGAGGGCCCTGACAAGGGCTGGGTTTATCACGAGGAAGAGTACAATACGTATCTGAAGGCGACTCGCAAGGGCGGATATGATGCTTTGAACCTGTACTTCTTCAGCAGTTACTCGCCGGGTGCTACAGGCTACTGCCAGTGGCCTACGCCTCTCGCCGAAACCGACGAGTTGACCTTTTGGAAGGATTCGTGCCAGTTGAGCGCAATGACTATGCCAGGCTTCACCGCTGAGCAGGGCGCTTTCGAGTCGTGGAACCTTGGCCATCTTGCGGTTCATGAGAGTGGCCATTGGTTTGGTCTGAACCACACCTTCGCCGGTGGCTGCTCAGAGCCTGGCGACTTTGTTTCAGACACGCCAGCGCAGCTCACCCAGATCTTTGGCTGTCCCGAGGGTTCCGACTCTTGCCCAAATCAACCCGGTTTGGACCCCATTCACAACTACATGGGCTACACTGATGATGCTTGGTAAAATGCTCCTCTCTTGATATTGCCTTGAAATGCAACTGACTTGGTCGACCAGCACGAACGAATTTACCCCGGGACAGAAGGACCGCATGTTTTCAACCTTCTTCAACTTCCGTAGGAAGTAAGCAGACCAAAGCCGATGATGGAAGGCGTGAGTGTCTTTAGATCTTTGGTCGGGGGCAGGAAGACCGTAAAAGCGAGACTAAAACAATACAAACACTTAAATTTTTGGTGATACTTTATTTTGAAAGAAATGCAAGACAAGCCTAGGGTATCCGCGCGTGTCAAAAAGACCGAGATCACATGGTTCAATTGCTATGTCTTGAGTATTCATTCCAAAATAAACATCGCACTGCAGTCATACCAAACGACACTCTCTCGTAGACTGTGCTCATATGCTGACACGTTAAGCAGCTATAATTCTTCGGGTTTCTCCCGATCGCATAGTGGGCACACGTAGTAGGTATGAAAGAAAGTCCTCAACTGCGTACTCCTTGCTCCTGCGGGAGATCAAGCAAGACTCTGGCTTTAACTCTAGTTCCGGAGATTTCGAGTTAGATAGATGACTGTTGAGACATAGAGAATCGCCCATCCTCTGGCTTTTGTTTGGGTCTTGGGTAGATCCAAGACAAATGTCTGGTACGACGTTGACGGGAGGTCTGTCTCATAGAACTGCTGTGTTATCTTCTTTTTCATTGCCAACTGGGGTGTTTCGGGCTCGGGCAGCCCTGAATCAGTTAAGTCACCGCCGACACCACCGCCAATCGCAGTTGTTGCCTATTTGAATCTGCGTTTAGCCATCGGAGTCCCCTTTACTGATAGGTCACTGCAGCTTGGGGCAACACGATTCCAGGTTACCTACGGCCAGAAGAGACCTCTGAGTGCACACGACGGGTATTGTCCACGGTTCAATGAACTACTTCCAGCACCGTGAAAAGGACTGAAGACTGCCAACTTGACCCTTTCCCCAGCAGTAGCAATTGGCCGCTGCATTTCGCCGCAACATAAGGTTGACACCTCTCGTCGCAGTTGTTCTTCATCACAACCAATCGACTCTCGAAGGAAGGTAGCTCTTGCCAACCGTCGATGGACAGAAGAAAGAGCCGCACCTACCAGAACACCGACACTACAAGTCAAGCAGGCACCCGCCTTGTGACTGCCTCCGACCATTTTCTACCTACTTCAACGACGACACACCTTCGGGCTGACTTCTCCCCCCAACACCAACAACACCAACAACCGCCTTTTCACAACAGCTAGTATCAAGACTCTCGGTGCAGGATTGCCATCTCTCCTCTCCCTCACTTATTACTGAGACGTGCAGCCTCGACTCCAACACTGCTCAAATACGCACCACGACCAACGGGATGGATCGCTCGCCACCCCAGCCCAGGGACTGGACTCTATCCGCCGCATCCATGATACCCACGAGGATCGATGCAGCATATCTGCCTAGACTGTCTCAGCTTGGCGCACCACAACCTACGGCCCGACTGGACCAGCTTGTTGGTAGCAGCATCGACCGACAACCCGCACCTTCCCAGCCACAACCAACGAGCGACTTCATGTCCAGTCACAGGCAGCCCAAGAGAGGGCTTGGTCTCCAGGATGGCGACGAAGAGTCCGCCACTGACAGTCCATCCTCCAAGCGACGTCGTCGTCTGATCCGCAGAGAGGGTGATCGAGGTTCCCTGATCCAATCTCAACGTGTTCCTGACCCTCGCATTACAGTCTTGGGGAGGACTATATCACAGGAAGATTTCCTCCACTTAGAATCTGTCTTTCGGAGTCGTGGCACAAATGCTCCACCGCAGTCTCGCATTTCCTCCCCCGCTCCCATTTCTCTCCTCGGCCGACACTCTGCCGTTGAGAGAAATCATTCAGGGGGAAATGAAGAAGACGAGGTAGAATTCATCGGTTCACGGTCTGCTATCGATATCATGGCAGAATCTCGGGCCCAGATGCCTCCAGCAACTCCCCAACCTCGATCAACCGGACCAACTCAGCCGGCCTTGCATGCATCGTCATCTGCGCCAATGCTTGCCCACTTCTCGAGCCCAACTCCAGAGTCTTTCGATTCTTCGCCTTTGTCAGCACATTTGCCGGCGCCTTTGCCAGCGCCCCGGTCTGATCGCCAGCGTCAACATCCCCTCAGTCTTCGAATGCCTGGCTACGCAGCAGAGGTCGGGAACGTTGCCACCCGCAATGACAGACCTAACATCATGGCAATGGCACAGATCCATCCCATCGCCAGCCAAAACAATGAGGACGTCAGGTTTTCCACAATTTTGAGCATCACGCAGTCGCTCTCGGTCCTCGATCAGATAATGCCAACCCATTGGATCCGTCGAGGCATTACCCTGCACGAGGACTTGCGCTCGTGGCTTACAATCGACATGCAACGACCTAATGCCGGCAGCGACGAGGCCTTTCGGAATTGTGTCTGCGCCGTTGACGTTCCGAGGAAGTTCTATTTCGCCGGGTGCCGCCATGTAAGTCATACACAGCCGCATTCACTCCAAATCATGACTTTGGAAAGGACCTAATCTTGTCTTGTTAGATGGCTTGTGGCGACTGCGCTCGCAAGTCTGGACGATGCTGTGATCGTGACCAAAGCATGGTACTCTGCTATCCTCCCGAAGGCGCCGAATGTCCTATCTGCGAGGATACCAACCCTATCTTGATCTTCAAGTGCGGTAAGTCGTAGATGTTTCTGTCGAGTAGGATAAAATCACTGACTCCAGCCACCATTCCCAGGTCACACCATGTGCCAGTCTTGCTATCTTCGGCTCTCCAGCCAGCCAGGAAACACGCTGTGTCCCCAATGCCGGGCCGACTTGGGATACGGCGCGATCGCGAGGTTCAACCCCGCGTAAACAGGCTAGAAGGTATGTGGCGTAAGGTAAACACATGGTACTGCTAGTAGATATCATTGAAGGGGGGAAGCTGCGCGCTTTGCGAAGGGACAGGGGTACTCTGAACAACAGGCTTTTTGAGAAGTTTGGCGAGAACGCAATGCATGAATTTGCGCTTATCTTTATCAATGGTTAGCAGGAGTTTATGGCGTGCATTTTACACAGCGTTTGCGACGTGGTAGGCAGACACCCACAGCCGTAGTCAAAGACATCATCAGCGTTTGGAGCATAGAAATAGAAGCTCGATGTGGGAGCATCAGAATCCTACAAGTTATGCAACACAACAAACTCCACTGCAGCTCCAGTCCCTTCTGTTTGAAGCAAGATATCAGCATGGCCGTCCCAAATCAAAGTTAAGACGGCTGTATAACTCGGTTTTCGATGTAATATGATGAAGCTAATCTTATTATCTTGAGGAGAAGCCACTTATATAAAGCAACTGACATTCCCCAGTTTCTACGTAAAAACCTTATCTATCTTAGTCCCCGTTTCGTGAGAGTTCCACAATAGTTGACGAGGTTTGCTGCCGTAACCTCCTGTACAGAACCACGAGAATCGCCGTCCTTATGGAGGTAGGCGTTGCCGGGGCTCACCTGGAAAATCAATGCTGTTGGTTGGCACCCGTAAGCGCCCAGCCGCGCATCAACCCCCATCATGCAGCCACCATGCCTCCGCGAATTTCATGGCGGGAAAAACATGTCATCGAAAAAACCGAGACCTTCTTTGGCGACATGTCACTCCATCAGCCGCTATCTTGATCTTTTTGGGCCATCTGAGATCGAAGGATGCTCAGCATGCCTCGCTGTTCTTCTCTCGATATGCCAATCATCCTAGTCCCAACGGTAGCCTATCTGCCTCCTCAGAAGGCAGCAAATTTAGTGACAGTCGCATCCTGGATGCTGTGCCTCTTCAACCCCGAAGTCGCCCCCACACTTGAGTCTCGTCTGTCCGCCTCTGAGTGGCCCAATTGCCAGCGCCAAGGAGAGTGTGATGTGAAGTCAGCAACGTTAGCTGCATGCGTCGGTCTCTCGAGCGGCCATGCCGGCCAGTATTGCGTAAAAGCACAGAACGCGGGAATGCGATGTGCCGCCCGTGGCAGTCCCATCCACTCACAGATCTCTTCTTCTGCAGATTATCAGCGCATAAGTGCCGCGTGACTCTTGACTGCATTTGAGGCGTAATTTGGACCGCGTCCTTTTAAAATTTGGTTGCTTCTATGCTTCGAACTCCTCACTTCCCTTCTCTGTGAGCATGACATCGTTTGAGATTTGTGCGATAGCCTGCTTTGTGTAGGACCTCTAGGGGCCTTGATGATGGGCGACTTGCCAGCGGTGAGGCCCGGCACAATGCCATATATTAGCTGTCGATGGTTAACGTGCTTGTTGACAGGGAAATCAAAGCGAGAAAGCGGTACCTGATATCGAAGATCAGCCTTCCACGGTCGCTTGCTCAACCGCTGACCGACAGCGACAAGCTGGAAACGCCACGTCGGTCGACTTACTTCAACTGCCTCCAGGGGTGGCACCCAACAGAAGCATGTCAAATGTCCCGGCATCCAAGTGCAAGCGTCCTCCATTTCTTCGAAGCCCTGCATATCGGTCGGCCGATTCCCTGCTGGAGTATTCACCGAGATATGGCTCCCGGAGCTTCGAATCATTCATGAATAAACAAAGCAAAAGTAGCGGAAGGGTGAAGAAAACTCATACCGCGACAAGAAGGCGTCCGAGCTCATTGAGAGACCCGACAGCCAAGGTGGCGTTAGGCGACTTGACGGATCGGATGTTGAGCCTTGAGGTGGACTCTGGAGAAAGGCACGACATCAACGTATATGCTGCAGAGAAGGGAATCTCGAACACAGCAATTGACAAAGCTCGGGACGATAACTAAACACTTTGCCGTATTATTGAGCATACCGAGTTGGTCCACTTCGGAGTCGTTTCCGATTCATGCGCAACAAGGGAATTGCCCCGGGACGGCAAAAATATCAATGGCTCCAAACCCGTAGCTACCGGCAGCCCTAGGTAGTACGTTCAACAGAGAGAGAGGGTTCAGCGATGATGAGAGTCAAAGCCACGGGCCATCTCTATAACTTTCCCCCGAATGATGCGGTATGTTGGTATCTCACTGAATTGATTCATTTGATTGAGTCATCTACGTAGCAGTTTCGACATTGTTCTGTGGCATTTGATCGCCCGATTACGACTCATTCGCAATCGGCGTCTGGCGACGATAGCCGAAACGGCTTTACGGAGCCATGTAACCCAAGCTTTGGTTTCCACATTACGCTTTGACTCTCCCATCTCTCTCAACCTCATCCGCAATTTCGGTGACCTGCTCCACGAATTTGTCGACCTCGGTAATGAACGCAGAGTGGCCACCGGGGTTACGAAGCACCCTCTTGAGCGTTGGTATGGTGGCAATGATCTGCTCTTGCGTCGTCGGAGGAATGGTCTGGTCCTTTTCGCAAAAGATGTAGTATGCGGGAACTGTCAGCTCGTCCAGGCCAACAGAAGCGCCGCCGAATAGTGCCTCCTGAGACTGGGGCAACAAAGCCGCCATGCACTTGTCCGCCAGCTCGTCCGGCATATCAGGTCCGTAGAAAGCTGCCTTAGCCTTGGCGTTTGCCGTGACGAGGCCGTCGGCGACATCGACAATGTCCAGTCCGGGAGGCAAAACACTGAGGGCGCTGGCTCCCTTCTTAGGAGGCATGTTGGCGGTCACGTAAACGACCGCGCGGATGCCACCCTTCTTCGATTGTGCGGCTCTCTCGGCTACCGAGTAGCCCTTTGACGCGATGGTCAATGGCGTTCCGCCGTAAGAGTGTGCCAGGGCGAGAAACTCTTTGCCCTCGTCAAGGTAAGAGTCGAGATCGGTCTGGATCTTGCGCGCATCGTCGTCCAGTTTGACCTTGGGGTCATCGCCAACACTAGGGAGGTCAACTCCGATGATGGGAGAGAAACCAGCAGTCTCGAGCTGTGCCTTGGCTAAGTCAAAACATGAAGACTTGTGGAAGCCACCGTGAACGAAGACGACGCCAAGTGACCTGGGAGCTCTAATCGCGGGCATGATTGACGATTCTTTTGGCGTTGCTATGCGAAAGGTTGAGTTGGAAAACTGTAAATCTCGGTTGTTGTGAGCAGACCCTAGCGACCTCATGAGTGAAGGCGCCGGTATTTTGCATTGAGGGCAGACGATCCTTTATCGAGAGCGAGTCTCTCGCGTTTGCGGGGCTTCGTGAAGGTCGAGGATGCAACAAGTGGCCTGTTGTGGGAACCATTATGAAGCTCAATGTTACTCTACATCCCGATCTTCTTGCTGGGCTCCCCGGCATCCGGTTCTTCGGATGGTGGAGGCGGATTCGAATTGGACGTCTTGTATTCGAGCGAACAGAACTCCAACCAACGGTTTTGTATCTGAGCGAGTCATGGGCTCCCTTCGTTGTCGGAAGGATCTTAGCGGGTGAAGTTTAGTGGCCGTACAGATTGATTGAGGTGGGGTCTCCGTGGGTGTTCATGAGGGTCCATCGTGGAGCCATGCGGCCGACATGAGCAGATATTCACTCTACTTCTGCTGTTAATGTTCGTGGGATGCACAACTTACTATGACAATGGAGGGATCACGTTTCCAGCAAGTGTGACGACTCATGCAAGGTACGGCGTCCAACTACGGTTCCCTGTCTGTCCGTATGAAGAACTGTTGCAGAAGATTCCACCTTCGACTGCCGGGTTAGAACCCATGTTTTCGCTTGAGTTATATGAGAGGGCTAGCTGCATCTCTCTAGGGAATCTAGGTTCGGAGCATTTTGTTCACGCCTTGTTTTTACTTAACCGTCTAATGTCTTCAGGCAGTCGGATTTCACCATGGACGACGTGACTTACTCTTCGGAAAGAAGTGTTGCTTCTATTCTGATTGTTCCGCATGCGGTCTTCAGCGTAATTGCAACCCTTCTGGTCGGGTTGCGGATTTATTCTGCCCGAGTAATTACCAAATCACCATGGACATTTGACGAACATATTGCCATTGCGGCGTTGGTATGCTCAGATCTCCTCTGCACTAGGTTGTCGCGACCTTAAACTGACTATTTTGATTGCGAAGATCGCGAACCACATCATGCTCATCAGCGAAGGCATCGGTACGTGATTTTGACTTCGTGATTAACACATGAACTTCAGAACCGAATACTGATTTACGGTTCCAGCGGTGAACTATGGGCTTGGAACAGAAATGACCCAGATCTTGACAAAATTCCCTGGCGGAGTCTCTGCTTTTCTCAAGGTATTCCATACGTCTGTCGTCTACTGGCGCAACTCAATCGTCTGACTTCACAGTGTATTCTCTCCATTGAGATAGCATACGGAATTGCATGCCCTCTATCGAAACTGGCTGTGCTTACCATGTTCTACCGTATCTTCTCGGCTTCGAAGATCTTGCGATACTGCGTGTGGGCAATTGCTTTTGGACTCATTGGGTGGGGGATTGCTGTGGTCGGCGTCAGTAGTGAGTACTCCGGAAACCGGTTGAGAATGAAGTAGTCTTCGGTTTACTGATCTAATCCTGCTCCAGTCTTTTCTTGCACACCCATCGCGAGATTCTGGGACCAAACGATCCCTGGCACATGCATCGATTCGAGCAAATTCTACATTGGCATCACTGTACCAAACATCATCTTCGACATTCTCACGGTAGCTGTTCCGATCCACGAAGTCTGGAGACTACAAATGGGGCGCGAAAAGAAGCTCGCCATCACAGGCGTCTTTCTGCTTGGTGGCAGGTATGATCCCTGGTCATGCGTCATTTGTGCTGGATGCAAGCTGACTCGATTACCCAAAGCGTCGTTCTCGCCTCGATTGCTCGACTGGTCCTCTTTATCATCTATCGGCCTGGAGAAGGAGCAACAGGAAATAATATCAGCCAGACTGTTATCATTCCTCATGCGGCCTCTGCAATCGAAACATGCCTTGCTATCATTGGCGCATGCCTCCCGCCATGTGCCCCTCTCTTCCGTCGCTTTCTCGGTGGCGTTGTCAGCGTTGTGAGCTCCGGAGACCGATACAACTCGAGGCCCAGCGGAGCGGCTAAGTCCGGAAACTCGAAAAACTTTAACACCCTCGTAACGATTGGAAAGATTTCCAATCGTGGCGTGGGACACCGCAAAGGCTCCAACGAGGATGACCTCGATGGTTCCTTTGAACAGCTTGGAGACGGGAATAGTCTGCAAGGATCCACCGACGAGTTGTACGTGAATAACGAAAACTCCGGGTCTCGCAGAGATCTTGGTGCGGAGGATGGAATACATGTCAAAAGAGAAGTTCACGTGGAGAGGAGTGGGAAGGTAGCGTCACAAGACGTCAGGGAATGGGTCACCGGCGACATTCCGCTGGAGAGGATGACGGATCGTGAAAAGACATCCGGAGTTACAGGGCTGGCTAGATAGATCACCGTAATGATTGTCGTTTTGGCCAACTTTGATCAATTGCGAATGGCCTGGCGGACCTTTGCGGATAATTTTACAGCCCCTCCACTCGACAGATGAGAGGTGGTTCAAAGTGCATGGTAAGCTAAACACGTCTGGCCCGGCGATCAGTCGAATTCGCATGGGTGCCCTTTGAGACTCTCGCGCTGTTACTTTGAGCTTAACCAGCCAACTTCAGTCGGACGACAGTCCAATCATTGGTCATGACTTGTAGACGAAGGGTGGCCGTCGTGTGAGAAAGCGCCGCCACACCCCGGATCGATCATATACGCAATGTTTGCTTGACCAAGCAATTGCTCAGCGGAGCCTTTTCTACTTTAGGAAAATCGGCTTTCCGAGGGATTGTTTGCCAAACTGGGTTACCAGAGCCTAGATTTCGCCAGTGCTTGCACCTCGGGCAAGCAGTGGCGAGTGCTGTTGACCTGAAACTGGAGCACTTCCCTCACTTGGCAAAAAGTGTCTGACAACTTCAACGTCCGAATGTTTTGCCACAGTCGTATTGGGATGGTACCCCTCTAAAGACCCCAGATTCGTACGTGTTGGGCTATGTGGCATATCAGCTGCAATGATGATCGAAAGGCTGAGGCGGGAAAACTAGAAGAAAAAAAAAAGACACGGTATTTCTTTGTCCAAAGTCTGCGGGAAAGATGACCGCAAGGTTTCTAGAGGTCGGGATCTTCAGCTGAGTGGGGGTGGCTGATCTTGCGCCGCAATCCTTCATGCAACAGAAAGCATCTGCAGGGTAGGTAATGACGATGTCACTGAGGTGCACCATCTCAGAAGAAAAGCCGGTTTACGTGCGTCTCTTTTCAAGCGGCAAAGCATGTCTGCGGCGTGCACCGCACATTCCTAGTCCTCAGGTGAAACGAACTTAGCAACTGCGCTGCCGCCGTAGATGGCGAGGTCTGAACCAACATCTTTTTGGTCCAGAAACCCTGTCAACAATGACAAAAACGGAATATGCTCGAGATAAGAGTAGGCATCTTGCAGCGCGCGCTTCCAACAACGATGTGTTGGTTTCGTTTGTTGGCTTTTCTCAGCTCAGCACTGACGGCGGCATGTCGACTTGTTCTGCACGAAAACATGGTAACGTTTAGTACACCCACCATCTCGATTTCCCGTCACAGTCGAAACACCACACCAATCCGAATCACTCGTGTCACTCTAGCGGTGTAAAATGGAAGACACAGATGATCCATTCAAAACGGTTAAATGTTGCACAACGGGGACTAGAAGTTAGAACTGTCGGCAGACGTGCTTTACGGCCGTTGTTACGGCCGATAATCCGTTGCTTGTTTGCTGCAGAAAAGGTGCCCGGCTTCTGGACATGATTGACCGGGAGCCCGTGTTGGACTTGTTGGCCTTGTTGGCGCAACCGCCCGTTGGAACCTCGACAACTGCCAAGTTCCGACCACAGGGCAGTCTACTGGTAGGTGGCCAACATGACAGGGATCTGATCTACGTGTCCTATGCAGAAGGGGTCACCGGCAAGCCACCCGAAAAGCCACTGGCCACGAGAGGACCCGAGAGCCCGCTGCTCGTGCCGTGATGGCTGCAGGACCCTCCGATCCGGCTCGGCGTTGATGCCATATTACACGCGACGTTTACAATGCATGTGACATACTGCAGCCACTGCCCATCACTTCAGTCTCGTGTCTACGGGAGGGACTGCGCGACCAATATGACTGGAAATGTTCGAAGGCTGTTGATTCACCTGAATTTACACCCGAAAGGGACAAAAGACGTACTGGGGACATTTTTCAATATTTACTCTGACATTCCATACGACACGTCCCCAAAATGGCAGCCAATTGCGACCTACATGTGCTGGCATTTAGCTTACCGCGCCACACAGCACGGCGCAGAGGAGCCCCCAAACGTCCGCAGAGCCTCACAGCACTTGTGAGGGTGGCATCGGGCGCTTACAACCTTTTCATGTGTAGTTGCATAGAGGAAAAGGGGGTGGGAGTGGTTGCGGGGCGCAAGGACCAACGCAAGTATCCCCGAATGATCGATACGAGGCAGTCGGAAGTGGCCAAGGGAGGGGGAACAAGTCAGGCTAATGAGATTCTCCTTCACTCTCGGTTCCATGCTGTTGGACCCGAAGGCGCTCACACAATCAGCACCATGAGCTTTTGTCATTGTCTCGATCCCAGCCGACGAGAATCTCACTTTTGGGGGGGTTGAGGGATGAGCCACTGTTTGTGGACGACATATGTCCTAATTCGGGGTGTAGCTCCGGTCGAGTCATGGGTATTGGTTGGCCCAATGCATGGTGATGTCTTTTCCAAGGGACAAAGAGACTTGGCGGCCCAATTACACGGACAGGCATACCAGCACCATCTGCATCTGAGTGGCATGTGCGTTTGGCTTCGAGTTGCTTTCGGGCCCCCAATCACAGCAAACGCAAATGAAAGTCAGATTATCAGGATGGGTAGGAAGAGGCCGTGTTTGCCCTGTTGCTTCTTATTTTGGACCGGCTTGGCGGTCTGCCGTGCATTGCATATTTAAAAGGACTACGGAGACGCTGTGTTACAGCTGCTTCGTGTGAAATGCCTGGCAAGTCGGGTATTCCTCGTCGTCAATCGAACAATTGAATCCTTCATCAACAGTAGCATGCTTTCTCAGTACATTGCCTCGCAGGTTACAGTCAGCCCTGCGCTTGGCCATGTTGCTAGCCAATTACTGAGACGCTTCCTCGGTCACAGTCTGGTACTTGCCATTCCTTTAGTCTTTACATGCCTCCTGTATACCTCGCTCAACCGCAAAGATCTACGGGTGAAGGGCGGAGGTGAACGTAATGGCATCAAGTTTCCTACGAGTCTTTCCTTCATTACGGATCCACTGGCATTGGTCTTTGCTACGGAAAGCTTCCTCCGTCGGCTCCAGTATGTTTATCTCTCAAGACTTTGATTCAAGCTATCCTTCTGATTACTTCCGCAGAGACGGGTGTCGCCAGGTTTTCCCTGTGTCCCTGCCTGGTAGAAACCTAAGCATAGCTCTGCCTGGAGAGGGCACACGGGCATTGTTCCGGCAATCAAAGGAATATGTTCCCGTCCCTGGATTATTCGACGCTTTGACAGTTTTCTTCGGCTTGATGGCCAAGGACCACGCTGTATTCGATCACGGTCATGTCACCAGGTTCGAGCTTCGCGACAGCGAAGGCCACCGAACCAACCATGTAGACCCATCGCGGAGAATCATTGAACACCAGCGAAGGGATTTTACGTCATTTCTCAACGGTGATAGTCTGAAGGCCATCATGAAGAGATTCGAGACCAACTTCTGCAACGAACTACAAGGACGACTACTCAATGCTCCAACTACACATGTCCCGGATCTCTACACCTTTATCAGGGACTCAATATTCAAAGCTGAAGTGGAAGCTCTTTATGGGGAGATGATTTTCAAGATTTGTCCCTCATTCTGCCAAGATTTCTGGGACTTTTACGACGCGTTTCCCGTCATCTCCCGCCAACTCCCAAGGTGGCTGTTTCCGACAAAGTATCAGAAGAGAGACAAGATGCTTCAAAATCTCCACGCCTGGCGCATTCAGTGCAAGGCTAAACTTGATTCTTCATGCGAAAGTTCTCTCGGCTGTGGGGAGTATGAACCAGTCTGGGGGACTCTCTATGTCCGAAGGATGGTACAAAGACACGAAAAGCTTGGATTGTCGGATGACGGAATTGCTTCAGCTCTCCTGGGCTACCTGTTTGTGTAAGTTTCATAAACTTGGCCCTGACTTCTGTTCATCTGCTTACCGGACTCATAGAACAACCGCAAACACAATACCAGCGGCAGCATGGATGATTCTGCACACGCTTTCGGATGAGTCGCTCACGTATCGTATGCGCCATGAACTTTCAATAGACCACCTAGCTCGTCAGGATCTTCCAACTCTGGGGAGCGCTCCCCTCCTCAGTTCCGTTTATCGGGAGACACTCAGACTACACGTTGCTGGCGCTACAGGCCGTACCTCACCTCAAACTGGATTCGGTTCACACCAAGCTGGTACTGTTACGATGACAGCAAGCTGGCTTGGTGGACTTGACACATCATTTTGGAACGAAGGAGCTGTCGTTGACGGTGTCCCGAAGCATTCTGTTGACACTTTCTGGGCAGAGCGGTTTCTGGATTATCCAGATGACCCCGGCAGCGGGCCTCTCCGTAAAGCAGGCAATTACCCACTTGCTGATCAATCCCCTATTATCTCGGACACGAAGACGACAATAGATGACTCAACAGCAACACTAAGCACAAGTGGTCTCCGAGGGCATTGGTTCCCTTTCGGGGGCGGAGCGTGGAGATGCCCGGGTGAGACTCTAGCTAAAAATACCATTTTGGTCTCGGTGTATTTATTACTGCGGGACTTTGATGTACATGTTACGGATCGGGCAGCCGCGTCAAAAGTAGTATTGGAACCACGCCACAGAACCTTGCCTTTCGGTACGCACGCCTTTAGTCGGCTTGTTCCGGTCGACGTTACAAGACGAGTGTCATACAAAGAATAGTTAGTTGGATCTGGATATTACCTTTAAACTTACGTACAGTCATTATGTGGGATGCAGCCGTTGCTTTTGCGCCTTCAAGTTGAGCCTAGTGTGATTATTGTTGCAAATCTTTAAGAGCTCCCCCGTCTGTGCTTGTATGAAAGCTCTTATTACATGTTGGTCAAGCCAGTTTAACTACAATATCGTGAATGTGATGACGTTGAGAGCTTTTCTTTTGTTGATTTGATTTTCAATCAACACACGTCAGTGTCTCTTTAATTGGCAGTTGATAGCCTCCACCAGGCGGCTAATTTATTGAAGCTGCCCTCCCTTCTTTTTCTCTCCTCTTAACTACTGACCACCCCCTGCGGGCACGCAGTTGCGGCCTTGACAGGGTTCCAGAATCAGCTGCGATCATGCGCAAATCATTGAGAGTTCAAGGGCTGATGCGTGGAAGCAGGTACAATGTGAAGGCTCGAGTGGCAGTCGTGGAGCATCGACATCCACTCAAGCGGGTATCAAACTGGTCGGTTAGCTCAGTTGGTCAGAGCGTGGTACTAATATGTCATCCAACATATTGAGTAATGCCAAGGTCATGAGTTCAAGCCTCATACTGATCATCGCTGTTATTTTTTGAGGATGTGACAACCTTCCTGGTCCTCACGATGTTGAGCTGCATGACGACACGTTCTGACGTAACTCTCTTTAGCCAAGAATCTCATGATGAGACTAGTGCTAATGTTTCGGACTGTCTTGACTGCGCCGATGACGATTGCCGGAAGATCATTTTGTTTTCCGGCCCGAGAAAGGGTTTTGAGCTGTGTTACGGGACGTGATCTCCGCATCCGGAGTGAGATCAAGAATCATCGGAGAACAAAGAACATGGTCTAGACCAATTGCGCTCGGCAACCTCGAGGGGTAAGAATTGTCTTGATACAGCTTCCCCACTGGCAGCTGAAGAATACAGTCTAACCAGTTTAGATTGGATCTTAGTGGGCTTCGGCTTCTCAGCTGAACACCGCTTGGCTGTTGACCTCATCCTGTCACTGCACTTGACTGCCATGAGTTCATGGAAGTCTTGCTCCAGCGACTGGCAAAATTTACAGCCATGTATGAAAAATGGGTTCTCCTCTCGCTGGAAGAATTCCGGACTTCAACTCAGAGTTCTTTCTGGTGGTGGACAGCGGTCGGTTCGCACTTCCGAGTTCTCTTGAACCAGTGTGTCTTGGCTGGCAGCCCCCACTTCCGGCGTCTACGCCGGAACTGTGCGACTTTTGCCCGGCAATGCCTCGAAGGGGAAAGCCTAGACTGACGCCCCAATTGGCTGCATCCTATGCTTTGATCGTAGTATATGCTGCAACGGAGCACAAGCTTGGACTCGCTGTCGGCAACTCCTTCCTGTGACTCGGCATCCGCGGAGTTGAGACGAGGACCAACGAGACCACCGGCCGGTACGGTCAAGGGCTACTTACACCTTCCGCCCACCGAGTCACAATCTAAAAGCCGTTGACAAAAGAAATTGTTCAACGCGCGATGAGCAGTTGTCGATGTCAAACCTGACGCACATCCGTGTCCATTCGCATCGATTGAGATCTGCACTTGAATATTGGATCAGCAGTTGATGTCTGAAGCCGGAAGAAGGGCCACTGACTACAACGTCCTACGTCGAACAGTTTGGCAACACGCACTCAATCGGCCGGCGACTTGCCATATACATGAGCTGACGTGGCGAGCGACGCAAGCTTTCTGAGGCCATTGTTCAAGTGAGAGCTCTTGATGTTCGGAGAAGGTCAAAAGAAGTTACACAATGAACACAAAGCTTTTCGTCTAAGGGCGCGGCCGCGTAAGCAGAAGCTGTTTCTAGCGTTTCCGAAGTAGGCTTCAACGAGGATTTCGCCTGTAAGCCACTCGGCCCATGAGGAGCTACGGATGATCCCGCGGCTTAGAACTCAATGTGAGGCTTGGATTGGTACAGCCTAGCTCGTCCATGTTCCTGGAACAGCAGCTAGATTCTGCCACCTCTGGACCCTGAAAGTCGACAGACTTGACATCTCATATCCTGATCATGGAGTTTGTCGGTCAATGTCGCAGTAGCAACCATGGTTTGCAGTTGAAAGGCCGAGCTTTCTCTCTTGTGAACGTCAGAATCGCTACAGGATCACATCGATGACGTGTGTTGCACGCGTTTGGATATGTAGGTATGTTGCACAGCTGAGACGGGGAGCATTAGCGTAGACAGCACGTTGTACATGTGTTGGTGCTGACTGGTTGGAGACTTGACGGGTTGGGAAATACTGCTGTGCCGACGGCCAAACTTGAGTTAATGCTATTCCATCGTGGGCGGTCGGAATTGCGGTGTTGCCGGGCGCTTAGCTTGGCGCGGCTCCCGAAACGCAACACAATCCGTATGGGAAACGCTCATGGGATGGGGTTGGCATGTTCTGATCCTTCGCAGCTCGGCGTGCATTCTTTCGCGCATCAGCTGTCAACAATTAATAAGGGTTAGCGCTATCACCGGTCGCCAGAATACACGTCGCTGAAGATCGCCAAGTGCGAATAAGGCCGCCAAGGGTTTGACGCGTCGACATCGCACTAAAGCCGGAAAGCTTCCCTGAGCTAGTTAGGACCAGCAGATGCCGATCAAAACGAGATGCGGATCACGGCGGAGCTGACGTTGCACAAATTATCATCGCCGACTTCGTACTTGGCAAATAAGGTTATTGATGTTCAAGAGCTTATTGCCAAGAGAGGGGGAAATGACGGGGAAACAGAATTGCATTTCTACGCCCCTTACATGCCAATGAAATCACAGACACCTCTCTCTTGAAACTGGCCAATATGATACTGCGCTGACTCGGCCGCCACTGACGGGCGATAAGAACCGCTGGAATGCATCTGTCTGGGCGATCAGGGGTAAATGAACTCTTTCGACGAAGGCGCGCTGAAGCTCTCTGGGCTTGCAGCATCTTGTTCACGAATGGCTGCAAACGCTGTGGTTGCGTGGTTTTACTGCGTAGTTCTGGGCCATGCTTAAGGGACAAAATCCCGCAAGTTTTCCAAAAGCGACGAAAAGTGTTTCGCATATTCAACAAAGAGCTCGTGGGCTAGATGGGGTGAGGCTGAGGGGGCTTGACTGCCGTCCTGCCGCACCAAAGCGAGACACTCTGTCTTACTGTTTAATTACCTGATGTCGTGGCTTGAGCGTCAAAGAATGGCCAATGGTCTCGAATGAGATGGGGACGAAAACGGCAAAAATACCGGCCTTTCCTAGAGAACTGGAAGGGCACTTGGGAAACATGGAATGATATATATGGTAGCTGGAACATCCAGGTTCAAGGGATTCTGTTCAGTTCTCCAGCTCACCTTTGCTACTCTCCCTTGACACATCGTGTCCATCTTCCCAGTTATTTTACGGGCATTCTTCAACTTTGCATCTGGCAGGGACCATTTTCTTGTTCTTTTATTTCTTTTCGACATTTACCCGACTTTCGAATCCCGGAGATTAGATAATTCTGTCCACCATGCGTTTCTCGACCAGTGCAACTCTCTCAGCGGCTCTGCTTGCTGCCAGCGTCACGGCGCAAGTCCCTGTTGTTGTTGTTGTTGATGTCCAGAGTCTGCTCCCGGCAGCTGGCACTCCCGCCATCTTTGACAAGACCACGATCATACGGTCGACATCCATCCTCACTACTACGGTCAAGTTGACCAGCTCAACGGGATTGGCCAACTCGACCATCAGCAGAACATCCAGCACCAGATCGTCCAGCAGCAGAACAGCTTCCGCTACTTCTATAACCTCGCCTACATCGATTCCGGGTATCACCACCGACCAGCAGAATGCTGTAAACCTTCACAATGAGGCCCGAAAGCTTGTTGGATGTTCACCTTTGACTTGGGACGCGGGTCTTGCCAACGACGCTCAAGCATACGCCAAGACTCTCGCGAGCATCGACAAGCTACAGCATGACGTGAACAGAGGAAATGAGGGCGAGAACCTTTACTACCAGTATGGCAGCGGCAGCCCCCCGTATGCTGCTGCTACGACCTGGTGGCTCAACGAGAAGCAATACTACACCGGACAGGCCATCCCCTTGGCCAGCTCCAACGGAAAGCAATTCTCAGACTATGGTCACTACAGTGAGTCACATTGTCCATGTCAAAGAAGAGCAACTTGCTGACAGCATCCAGCTCAATGCGTCTGGAAGACTACTACCAAAGTTGGAATGGCTATTGCACAGTCTGCCTCGGGCAAGACCTACGTGGTCGCTCGCTACTCGCCCGCTGGTAACATGTAAGTCCCCACCATCCATTTGCCTTGGGGCTTTCCACTAACCTGACTTAGCGTCGGCCAAAAACCCTATTAGTGCTGCGGGTGAAATTGTGGGAATATGGGCGTCTGTGGGAGTTTGTGACTTGAGCCTTTATATCGGCCAATTCTCAGTATAAAATTTGGCGGCGTGTCTGGCTAGCAGATTTGTTTTCTAGACATAGATTTCTAGACAAACTTAGATATTAGAATTTACAATGGCTCCAATCATACCGATGATCTTGCACTTCTTGTCGAGGTAAAAGTCGCAGCCAGCACAACAGGAGATCGGGATCAAGTCAATGCTGTGCATGTATCTATATTTCGAAAACAAGTGGACACTACCTCGTGTCGACGCTGTTTGTTAGGAAAGTTTCATCTGCTCTTAGTTTGGCGGCGACAGCGAAAATCGCATCCAAACAGTTTCATGGTTCTCCCACCATCTCCCATCTGGAAATATGCATCTGGCAAAAAGACGATGTCGCGATCTGGCCCTTATCGGCACTCGTAAGAAATAATGACTCCGGGACAGGATCACATCCCTGGTAACCATAAAGCTGTTAATCCTGGACATAGTCTGGAACTTTTGGCATCCAGTCGCTGTCCTCGTCTGCCTGTTGCTTTTCGATTCGGGAAGCTTGGCTGTCCAACTTGTCTCGCAGAAGCGACAGCCTTGCGTCACGCCTCATTCTTGTAGGTCGCTTTCCGGACTGGTCCTCCCGTCGAGCCCAATATTCGTCAATCAGATGGGCCGGAAGTAGGCTCGCTGGCTCCCATGTGTGCTTCGGATGTCCCACCCACTCGACTAAATATCGATCATCACCAGCTCGCGATGCCCGGAAGTCTCTGATGTCGTGCACCAACCACATGGCATCGTCATGCATGAAGAGGTGTCTGCCGCCCTGAGAGGCCCAGTACTCAAAGACAGCAGATTTGGCGTCTTGATGGAGGCACTCCTCGGACTCCCATGTGGTCGAGTTATCTTCCCATTGAACGAGCATCTCGAAGGCGTCGGTGCCATCGAGAGTGTCGACTTTTCGGTGGCTGGAGATTCTTTGGAACGCGTAGTAGGTTGAAGCATCTGGTGCGGTATGACAAATGTCAGCATTCACGGAAAGGCGTCGTATGAAGGCGAGAAACAAGGCATACCTGCTTGAGAACCATTGGGGTCATCATTGGAAGCTTCTCTCAGCTGGGACTTGGGCGTCGACAAAGACTCTGGTGTGGGAAGCGACAAATTGCCGTTGCCACGGACCTTTGAGGGGGTATCCCACTTCATTTTCGCTGACTCCAGCTCGTGGTCGCGATCCCACGGTGTGTGGCATGGGTCAGGGTCAGGTTGCGGATGCGGAGTCTCGCAAGGGGGATGGGCAGTGGAAGTTGAGATTTATCACGTCGTCGAAGAAATGACAAGCTCACATATGGTGCCTACCGTCATGGGGCAATGGAAGGACCCCTGGGGGCAGGATCCAAGGCAGTTGCATCTTGCAGTAGTGCCTGCTGGCACTGAGAAAGAAGGCTCTCATCTCGTTGCTGCCGGTACAGTGTAGGTATTCTCAGAAGCTGCTGTGTTATGGGAAGGAGCTACCTAGGCTGTAACATTGCACTGTACAAGGAAGGTAAGGACAGGGCCATTGGGCAGGACCAGTCTGGACTTCCCAAGCTCTCTTTCTTTTCCCAGAGGCCCTCCGTTGCCCGGTCTTCCCCTCTGAAGCTGCCATCTTCGTCCAATTCACCATGGATGGTATTGAATGAAAAGGCTGGCTAAACTTCGGCTCGAGACAACTGGGACAAGGGAACACATGCTCGTCATGTCCACACTGCACTCTCTTGGAAAGCGCAATCCCGACCGATGATTCCGGGTATCGGCGCCGATGGATCCACAGCGCGGCCTGGCATTGCAAGTCGCCTGAAAGGGACTAGCGCGTTTAGCCCTGGGCCACAGGCGTTTGCTTGCTTTGCCGATGACGGGATCCTCCGAGGGATTCTCGGGCTTTCCTGTGTCCGGTGCGTGCTCCATGCGTCCAGTCTGCATCGTTACCCTCCTGGTGCCGCCCTGTCCATCTTGCATCCTTCGACTCCTCGGTCCTCGCACCTTTTTTCGGCTCCGGCCCTTTTGCAACCAATGCAGAAACAGTCGACATGTCCGATATACCCCGACCTCCGCTCCTCTTCGAAACGGCTTGACCGTCGTACGCTCGTCGAATGCACCCCGAATCCCCGCTGAACCGACCAGCTCACGACCGAATTCTTGATTGTCGATATGCACTTCGAGCGACTTTTCCGGAACATCGAGCGCGAATCGCTTTCCGTCTAAATAACGGATACGCGATTGAAACCGAAGTTCTGCGTCGCGTTGGAGCCATATGCGATTTCGCTGGCTGGGGAATCGACAAACAATCGACGAAACCATTCGACGATCCTACCGCGGCACACCGGAAGAGCTTCGATCTTCGATCACGACAATAAGTAGAAAGGAGCCCACGTCAGACCCTCTTCGGTTCGACAATAATGCGCCGGGCAACATGTTTGTCGATTGTCGCATCGGCGGGGAGACAGCTTGCTGCACCGAATGCCGACACCGCTCGCAACCTACACCAGTGCTGTTGTAGCTGCAAGAGATGATGAGATCTGGTAGAAGATCTGGTAGAAGATCTCGGCTCTATGCTTGAAATGAACGCTGCTGCCAAACCCATGCACAGGATGACTGGAAAGACTTGCGAGGGGAGATTTTTCATGTGCATCCTCGTGAAAACCTTCACCTACACATACTCATACAGAAGAATCCTTGCGATTTAGACCCCAAACTTGAACTCCCGGTACTTCTTCTGATAGTAGAATGTCGCCGCTGCACCAGCAAATGTGAGGGCCAGTGGTATGGGTGCTTTTCCTCCAGTCTTGATGGCCCTGGAGGCGCCAGCGCCAAGCAGCACGATGCTGTTTCCGAGAGCGAGTTCCGCGCCGTAGTCCTTGTTCTCCTTGAGGAGGTAACCTGCCCGAGCATTAATTCTTGCTCATCAGCTGTGACGAGGAACACTCCGCGACTTGCCAGAATACGCGTAAGCGGCTCCGAGTCCAAGGCCCGCGATGAGCGACGGCTTGGACTGCGTTTTCAGGAAGCCGGCAGTACCGCCGACGGCCACTAAACACCATGTTAGGCATATGCACTGATGGCAATCGGGGAGATAATCACTCACAGAGGCCGGCAAGAGTAAATGACGGGTGGTGAGCCATTGCGACAATTCGATTGATAGACTTGATGGGATGAACATGAGAGGCGGCATCAAAGTCAAAAGCCGTTAATCCCGGCGGGAGCCGTTTGGGATTAGTAATGGCCACGGCGGCAAAGCTTCGGCAATTTGGTTGACTTTGAGGTTGAGGTGGCTTCTTGACGGGCGTGATGGACACCCAGAAGAATATCTTCACGAGCCGCTGTATGCATATCTTTTCAGCGCCCTGGAGAATCTCTTCGAAGGACTTATAATTGGTGGTTCATATACTTGTTACCGGGTTTTCTGGCTACATACCTCCCTCATTCCACACCCATGGATCCCGCCTCAACCCAACTTTGACCTTCCAAGAAACCCACGCCTCCGGCTCCCAAGTTGCAGCAGGTTCGTCTTTCGCGCCTCAGAAGCCCGCACTCTTGACCGGGAAGGATTGCCTTTGGAATATCCGCGTCGCTTACCTGATGCTCAACCAGCGTGATGCCATGATCGCGTTCGGGAATTCGTGGCCAGCCGACCCTTGACGCTGCGGGTCTTGGGCTGGACTACTCCGGGCCATGGTAACCACATCCGATATGGTGTAGTGGCCAACATGATGCCCTCTCATCTTCGTTGAGAGGTTAGGCATAGCCCCGAGTTCGATTCTCGGTTTCGGAACATTTTTGTCTTTCGCAATCACCCACCTTCTGTTTCCAATGCTCGCTTTCCTTTTTACTTTTTTTTCTTCTTCTTTCTTCTTTTTTCTTCTTTTCTTTTTTTGCCACTTTCACCAGACACGACCTTCGGAATTCAAGATGTTTGCTTGCCTGATAGTAAATAAATCCGGACGGCGTGCTTCCGGCCTGTACTCTGCTTGTCTGCTGTTATGACCACTGAAGGCTGCTGACACTCTGCAGTCAGCCACCGTGTCCATCGACTAGGCAGCCGTCCGAATTGGCCTCTGTGACTGACAGCCGAATATTGGTAGCTAACATTGATGAGAAGCTAAGGTAGTCAAGCAACTACCGTCACTGAATACACCTCTTCCTCAACTATCCTCAACTCACGATGACGGCTACAAAGATCTCCCACGTCCCTCAGATCCAGCTTCTCTGTATGGAAAAGCAGTTCGCTGTCGCATTCGCCAAAGCACGCAAAATTTGGGAGCTGCATGAGTCGGTTTCCGTCCAAGTTCACGAGTGCCCTCTCATTTATCTATCAGAAGATGTCCAATTCGACACCATCGTGTCCCCGGCCAATTCGTACGGCCGCCTGGACGGCGCGTTCGACGATGCCATCTCTCGCGCCTTGTCGCCTCGCGACGACTACCTCGCCCTGACGCACGTCGCCCAGCGACAGCTTTATGAACAATGGCGCGGCTTCGCGCCCCCTGGCACATGCACGCTGGTCCGCATCCCCGACGAGTTTCGCGCCCGCTCTCGCAACGTCTGGGGTACTCGTCGCGTCGCGCTTTGCCCCACAATGCGAACGCCCACGAACGTCACCTGGGACCGTGAAATCGTGTACGAATGTGTGTGGAGCTTGCTTTGCGCCATTGACAATCACAACCGCGACGTCCGAGAAGGCAAGGCCGCAGAGGGCGAGGAGATTCGTAGCGTGCTTATGACTCCGCTGGCGACGGGTGTAGGTCGTGTGGGCCCCGAGAAATGGGCTTCGCAAGCCGTCCTGGCAATCAATCACTTCGTCCAGGCCTCTGAGAACCCCGAGAAATGGAGCAAACTTGACTGGGCAGATTTTGAAGGGCCTTGTGAAGAGGTGGCGGCTACTTGGCGAGACGCATGAACTTGATGGGAAGAATGGTGCCGTTCGGACGCCCGCGATGGTGTACACGCCTCGATCTTCGGCCTGCGGAAAGACGCGAGACATGCAGGCGATCACCCACGATTTCAATCTCTAAACCTAAACTAATAGTTTTTGCCAATCTTGCACTTGTGCATGTGTATCTATTAATCAGCGCGACCTGTCTAATCAAATGTGCCACTTGAGTACAATACTTGGGCATGCATCGACCCAAATAGGTGAGATGCAATTTGCGATCTCTCCTTCGTAAAAAGGGCCTCTGCTGCCGTAATTGCACCGACGTACTACCGCTTATGCGACAGAATAACCTTGCACGTCTTGCCCCGTGGCTCAATCAGGACCAAGTTATCCATCTCCATGCTCTCGGGTGTCGTCGCCGGCGAAAGCCTGGCGCCCTGGAACTTGCGAAAGAACATGGTGATTCCATAGCGAAGCTCCATTTCTGCCAAGTGCCTACCAATGCACACTCGAGACCCTGCCCCGAACGGCGTGAACGCGGCCTTGGCGGTCTCCGAGTTGGTGCTCTCCCCGTCAGGCATCCATCGAGAGTAGTCAAAGCTGGAATCGTGTTAATGCTTGAAATCATGCTGGGAAAACCAACTCATACCTTTCTGGGTCACTGAAGTTCCCTGGGTCTCGATGCAAAGTCCACGATTGGGTTGCAACATCGGTGCCAGCGGGGAGATGGTAGCCACCAAGCTGGATGCCGCCTGTAGGTACGACGCGCGGAAGTGGCGTAGGCGCGGCGCCATACAGTCGCAAAGTCTCTTCTATCACAGCGTGAAGCACGGGAAGCCTCTCCAGTTCCGCATCAGTGAAATTGTCACTAAGCCCAATGACTTCATTCTCCAAATCAATCTGCAACTCCGGGCGCAACAAGACAGCCCAAATACCATACGTCAAGGTGTTAGAAGTGGTATCGGTACCGGCGATCATGAAGGCTGCAGCTTCGACGCAGATGTCCATATCTGTGAGACAACCTTCGTCCTTCTCTGCTTGGAAGAGGACTTTGGAGAAGAGATTCGAGGCCTGCGACGCCGCGGCTTGCTTGCTGTTCTTGACGGCGATACGGCCCTTGTCAAGCAGCACCTTGTAGGAGCTGAACATCCTCAGACCTCCGATTATAGGAAGGCGTTTGGCGATTGCATAAAGCCATGGGAATGACAATGCGGTGAAAGCCGCGGAGTTGGCGAAGGTGACCTCCTCGAACCATGGGTCTTCCTGCACAAAATCGTCAGACTGAAACCCGTTTGAGAGCAGCGGCGATGTTGTCCTACCTTGCCGGCCTTCAAAGCGTCAAAAGATTCTCCAAACATGAGCTTCGAAACAACATCGCATGCCATGAGAATCCACCACTTGCGCATATCTACTTCGCCGCTGGCAATCTTTGCGTCGATGGTCATGCCCTCGAGGGCCACTGTGACCTTCTCACGCACCATGTCTTCCCAGTCTGCACGGAGTGAGGAGGATGTGAAGCCCCTACCCAGAAGCTTGCGTCTCTGAGAGTGGGCATGCTGGTCGGTCATTTGGAACAAGCCGTACGGAGGGCTGCCGGCCTCGGTTGGCCCGAAGTAGTGATAGTATTCGGCTTTCGTAAACTGGCTTCCGACCTTGTGGATGGTCTTGAAGGCCTTCACGTCTGATACAAAGACCTGCCCTGGTGATGCACGTACAAAGGGACCATATTGCTGGTGCAGGCGGTGGTAATACTGAACTTGCTGCCGCTTGAGGGTCGCGATAGTGCCAGGCAAGCCGGTGAATTTCGCGTACCAAGGACCGGGGATTGCGTTCAAGGGGTTGGTCAAAATCTGAGGAAGGTCAGAAGAAAGATATCAAGTTTGGGATTGTCCAAGGCAAACCTGGTAGAGTTTGATCAGTATATAGACCGCCGATGTGGCGGCAAGCAGGGGAACGAAAGTCAAAGTCATTTCCGTGGCATACGACAGGGGACAATTATGAAAAGTCTATTTGCAGAGTTTAGTAGCTTTCGCAATGACCTAGTGAAGTCTTGAGACGAACGAATCTATATAAAATACTATTTCTCAGTCCATATCTTCTCCTGCTGACAATGATGCATTTGCAAGATGTCGACGTCAGCACTTGTCGGCGCTCGGTAGTATGGGCGGACTCCACATGACGCCGGACTTTGGGAATCGTATGAAGACCGACATTGCACCGATCGAGTAGACCACCCACAACGTCCACATTGGTAATGCTGCCAGACGGCCTGGAGATATTGCGGCATCCGTAAATTTTCCTTCGTTCAGAGTCTTGCCAAGATGTACTGGGCCCTTTCGTGCTTATGTTCTTCGACGTCGCGAAAAAGTGGAAGACGCACCGCTCGCTGTGTGCCGTGACCCGAGCACGAAAAGTCCGATGCGTCTGCTTTGGAACAACTCTCCGGGAAATGTCGAGCAATGAGACTGGAGCTCATTCGTCACACGCAATGCCCCATAGAAGCCAAGCTGAAGTGAAGCCCGGGGTTTTCGACTGCGAATAAGGTGCCGTCATACGCCACACCTTCCCGTAGAGCCTCCAACTCGGCGGCTACTGCATCTACAGTTGACATCAAGCAACCTCGAAAAGATGGGGATGGATGAAGGGGCCTATTGTCAGCTGCATTACCGTTCAGTTGCGCCCTTTGGCGACTGGTCGCATGCGCATGTCTCTTCACTATCATTCGAGCTGCGTGAGGATATTATAACCCCTTCCTCGAAAAGGTCATCTTCGTACGTGGCTATCTGCCTGATGTGAAGCCAAAAGCCATCTTAAGCCCGGGCCGCCTTTTGTGTTTGGGTAGGACCGGAGGGCGCCTTGCTTTCCAAAACAAATACCCAGGTCCAGCGATCCTATTTTATCTGCAACTCCGACTCCTCATCTTGTTGAGGCGAGGTCGCATATTAGGCGTACTTCAACTTAAACATCACAATAGTTTAGGCTTGATAATCAGCTCCGGCTGCACAGTTTGATGACAAATGGAGATCCTCAGACAATAATGGTAATCCAGACATGTCCGAAAATCAGAAACAATCAAAGTGTCAGCCAGTACTATTATTATGGTAGGACCATGAAAATACAAACAGGAAAAGCGAAGAGAAACACGTTGACTAGTATTATTTTCGTGGGGACTATTTCGGATTCTTAGTCGGCATCGCTGCACACCTAAGGATGTTTTAAAGCGTTCCTTGAAAACCAGCCACAATAGAC